CACCAGATTTCGATATTTTTCAATCTTTGAACCTTTTGATTGAAAAAACAATGCGCTAGAATTATAAGCATCAAAAGCCTCTTCCTCAGAGTTGAAACATCGTCCAATTATTCATCAATAAGAACTCATTATTCATTAATTAACGTAAGATATTCATCATAAAAACGTAATAAGATAATACACCATCGGTCAGAAAACAACAATGAAATTCATGTTCATCATTAACCACATAATACGCATTACCTTACGCATGTATATTCATCAATAAAACGAATATATTCTACATCAATCATCTTTCAATAATTGCATAATATCATTCATTGTCTAAACGTTGGTTATTTATTACTGGAAAAATACACATTGATTCTCCACATTCATAAGTCTCAATGATTAACCATAGTCAATTTTCTAAAATAAAATCCATCGTTATAAAAAATTATCTAATAAAATAAAATAATATAAAAGCTAATATGATAAGAAAAAAAAAGATTTAAAATTAATCGAGTGCCAAAAAAATGGGGGATAAGATCAGGGAGTTAAATGTCAAAAAAAAAAGGGATAAGATTAGGGGATTAAATGCCAAAAAAGGGGGGATAAAATTAGGTGATTAAATGCGCGTGTGGACTCTTTTTACCCGGCTTAAAAATTCCAATTTCTTTTCTCTTGTGTGTGATTCACGCACTGCCTAGGTACACCTTGCAAGGTGTACATAGGATCTTAATATTATTTACCTGTTTGTGGCTACTTCAATCTATTTATTGAAGATTATTAGTGTTCTTAAAGAATTTTTTTTTTTTTTAAAAAAAGAAAGTCCAAACCGTTATCAAATATATCCCGTTTTGTATACTCCAATATTAGTCCTTAATTTATAGAACACAGATTTTCATTTCGAGTTTGTACCTTATAGACAATGTCGTACCGAATCATATATTGTTAAAATTGACCATTCCTTATTTCCTTTGTAACCACACCAAAAAAAAGGAGCCATTTTTAAGGGGAAAGGAGTACTAATTAATTTTATGAATTTAACAAGAGATAGTGAGAGGGATTGCTGCGTTTTGTTCTTTACAGTAAGCAACAAGCGTCAAATTCAGGTGATAATCGATAATATAGATATATGCATGTTGGGAGTCAATTTTAGGTGTAATTATCGAAAAAGACGCAAAGTATTGGATCTTGTTTGAAGCTGTGCCCATTCTTCGTCGAGAAACATTCAAGCCGACCCGTGGGACATTTGACAAAGATAAAATTTCAAAAGAGCATGTGATATTCGAGAGGACAAAACATATTGCATGAATGAATTTATGGTTCGCACGAATAGCTTTATCCCTTTTTTTTGTGTGTAAGCTAGAGTACTGCTAGAATTCGTTTTTTTGAACTATATATAACACTATTTATGTATTGAAAATATATTTAAATTTGTTGTTGAAAGAAAATTTGGAAAAAAAAAGAAAAAAGAAGAAGGTACAACTGTGCATTTCTGGGCTTAGGTCGTTCTTTTTGTGCAGCTATTGGATATTCTTACGCAATAAATAAAAAAATTGATATATTTATAAATTTCTGACTATCATATGCTGAAAATAAGGAGCATTGAGACTAATATTTGTTTTTTCTATTGACTAATAATAGTGTTTTTATTAACAGTTGTATAGAACTATTTCCCCCCTATTTGAGTCATTGTCATTTCTGTTTCAGAATGTCCTAATTTGTGATAAGCTATATTCATTGCTACCATGTGAAGTATGATCGAGCTGGTCACCATATATAGTACTAATTCAGTTATTCGTCTCACAAAAAGTCATCATAACCAAGTTATATTTAATTTGTTTTATTTGAGGAGAAAAAAAAAGTCATTAGAACATGTACTTTTCTTTTTTTAAAAAGGCAATATCTTTGTTAACTTTGTGGTTCATAGCTAAAATATGAAATTATGGATATGGTCATGCAACAATAATCAAAATTCTTTGGGAATTCTTTTTTTTTTTTTTTTCTAAGAAAAAAAAGAAGCAAAACTTGAATCTGGATTACTCAGGTAACACTGAATACACACTAAAAAAAAAAAATTACATGAACCTATACATCAAAATAAAAACTAATGTTGAACTTATTTTGTACTGTACTTTATACAAATTTGAAAAACAAATTGTAAAACTTTACACATCAGCTATAATGATTTTTCTTTTATTTTTTTTCTTAATGAAAGTGAAGTGGCTAACGTTCCTGAAATTGAGCCCGGCAAAACAGATGATTAGGATGCATATTCAGCAGCAGGGTGGGCATTTTTAAAACATGGACAATCAAACGACATCCATCAAACAAGCCGTAACTATCGAGCTTCCTGGCTGAAAGTTACATTATGTTTTTTTGTAAACTGTTGATTGATAGAGCATATGCAGATTTCATGTCTTCGAGATTTATATTCTCTATGAACAACATTTCTTATCATATTATATACTCCCTTTATACGTCCCGAAAAAAAAAGTCTACATTGACTATTCAAATTTGTACTAAATACAGTACAAAACTCAAAACTCAATATGGATTATTTTTTTAGGACGGAGATAGTATAAATTAATATTCCCAACGCCCTATATTAAAAATTCTCAAAGAAAAATGGTACAAAATGTTGATGGTGATGATATATGGATACGCGTTTAAGTCTTTGTAGAATGAATTAAAAACATCCCACATTCAAAGGTGATACAATATTTTCTTGAGTGCCGTTAGTCACGGAGAAAATCGAAAACGAATCCATATGAGATGTTTGCCGCCCATAACTTTTTAGTATCCACACTAACACGCACAAACTTCAATTTTATTTTCCTAAAAAGAAAAAATACTACTACTACTATTCCCTCTGTCCCAAAATTATTGTCCACTTTAAGATTTTACTTTTAATACAATTTAAATTAGAAATGAAAACCTAAACTAGACAATAATTATGGGACAGAGAGAGTACTACTTAGTGGTTCTTAAAAAAATACTCCACTTTATTTTGTTAGATTTACGTACAGAAAATATTCTTCACTGAGAAAATTTGCAACTACAAGAAGTCCTTTTTTTTGGCATGTGGTTCCGCAAATCCTCAACTTCTAAGTTCCAAGTAACGCTAACTAATTTTTGTCTACATTTATCAAATGGATGGGGTCTTTTGGTCCTATTTTTATTAATAAAAATAGTGCCCACTATTTATGTATGTGTAGGCATTGACACAGACGTTCTCCATCGTCCTCTTATCCTTTTTGCTACTTTTAGTTCCAAGTATTCAATGCCATCTGGAACCCTAGACGATCAAAATGCAATTTTGCTGGTTTTATTAAATGATACAGTTTCTGTTTGGTTACATAATTCAAGTTTCAGCTTTACAAGTTCTACGTATGAAATAAAAGGAGCTAAACTACTCGATTTCCTCTTATAATCGAGCAGTTCTCTTTCTTTCCGCACAAAGCTTTAACCGTCCAATTGTCGCGATGAATGATGTGTCCAAACGATTGGACTTCTCTAGTTACTGTCAATTGGTTTTGGGTCAAGAATGCAAAATTATTTCATAATTGCAATCTGAAAAAAATAAATTACTGAAATAAAATTTTTGGAACATGAAATGAGGGAAAAATTCGTCGTGTTCGGTAAAAGAGGAATTCTTTTTGACCGAAAGCAGTACTCTGTTTTTTAAGCGAGATGCTACCATAAATTTACAGAAGAAGAGTTAGGTCAGGGAAATTGACTTTGATTAGAGCCTTCAGGCCCCATAGCCATAATAGTAATTGCCTGATTGGGAGTAATACAATAAAATCCCATCAAGTCACAACATGATCACTTCTTTATTTTTGGCCGGAAATTTGAAAACTGAGATGCTTTTATATTACGTTACGTCTACTCCGGTAGAGATCGGCCATTATTCGATTGCCCACAAATTTCATCTCTTCATCATTGAACATAATTTCAACTATACCACGGCCCATAAAAGCTTGTAGGTAGTAATACTAAATGATGATAGGTCGAGCTAAATAGACCAGCCTTCGACTTCGAGAGTAGAAGTCTACTGTATAGTCAAGTCTATAATACCATATAAGTTTTAGCATTTATAATACTAACATAACAAAAAAATTTATTCGTGATCTCTTTAATCTTTTGTTACCTTATTACTATACTTCAACATCAAGGTGTATGTACATAGGATCCTGAATCTAAAAGGCCCGACCGAAGAAGTTGTTTTCTAGTGCGAACCTTCCGCTATTCTTGTGAAATTCGTCTTGTTTTGTAAGTACTCCAATTTACTAATTTACTTAGAAATTTTTTGTTCCCTCATTACGTACGTTGCTAATGCTTTTACGAAGGAAACATCCTTGGTTAAAAGCTTTGATCCAAAATCCATCCCGTATAATGATATTTATGATGTATGCTTGATTTCCTCCATCAATCCTCAACATTGATTCAAATGAATAAATTGCATTTTATGATTCGATTACCTTGTAATTGATTCTGTAGAAGTGCACTTATATAAGAATCTGCATATGATTCCTCAATCTATTTGATTAATGTTCAATCTTCGGTGTCGCGCAATTACTCCCTTAATCCGTAATCAAATCTTTCTACACAAATATTGCCTCAACCGGGGTGAAAATGACGCAATTTCAGCACATTTTCAAGCTTCTGTCACCTACCACATTTTGTCCTTTGCAAAACATTTTTTTTTTTGTGCCAAAAAAAATATTTTGAAAACAGTAAACAAAAATGCCATCCAAAATAACCTCTCATTGCTAAACCAAACAAAATAAAAAATAGTAATAATAAACAATTAAGAAACTTTTGAACACCACAAAAATATTGTAACATTATGAATCGAAAAAAAGGATAATTGTCTTTCTCATAAATTTGTTTTTTCAATTTCTTCCAAAATTTTTGGGCACTCAAGTCTTTCTCAGTCCACTGCAATGTTAGTTGTATTAGTGATTGGTCCCCTCATGACACCATTGGAGGAAGAATTTCAGCAGTACAAAATTTGCAGAAGGGCATGAACAGTGGGTATAGTCCATCCTTTTCCCGTATTCGGGTGTACATTTTCATAAATGCTATATATCAACCAGTGCAAATTGGCGCGCATCACCATAGTACAATAAATTACCTCCTTTTTTGGTTGGTGGTGAAGACTAACTTTAGGTAAAGGTAGCCCTTGTGGCTGGTTCATCATTAACTGCACTAGTACCTGTCCTTCCTTCTTCATTTTCCCTTAAGTAATTTTTTTTTTCTTTTTTACTTTTGTACATACTGCTACATTTATTATTGGGTAGAGAAAGCTCATGTTTGAACATTAATTTGATCAAATAACTTGATGTTAGAACTTAGAAGGCACTCAGTTGAAAGTGTATGAAAATTGCACATTGATGCAAGGAAGAAATTACATTGGTGATGACTTAATGTACAAATTATTTTGGTTTGTTTTGCAACATCACCAAAATACAGAATCAAACTTTCAATTCCAAAGTACTATATAGTTTTCTTCAAAGGGATGAAGACAAATATTAAATTAAACACTATTGAGAAATGCAAAAACAAACCGTAAAGCTATGATAATTAAAGCTTCTTTTTTGTGCTTGCTAATTAGACACATGATAATTTTTAACTCTGACAAAAACACCATTGCAAATCATCAAAATCCATCATCCTTTTCTTTCTGGGCTCGCATCTCAAGGCAAATCACTATCCTCTTGGAAGTTCTGGAAATCATCCTGGTTCTGATAGTTGTTGAACTCGTACGAATTCTGAGGATTTGCGTAATAGCCTCTGTTGTTGGCGGAGGAACCATAAGGCCCGTTGTTGAAGTTCTGTTGTTCCATGCTGACATCGTAGAAGTATTTTCCATTCTCAAGGAACCTCGTATCACTCATCCCCTGTTTCTGAACTCCATTGAGATATCCAACATTGTGATTGTAGTAATTGTAGTTGGTCTTAAATCTGTTATCACTCATACCTTGTTGCTCTCCATTGTAGTAATTGTTGCCATAGTTGTAATTGTTGCTGTTGCCGCTGTATGGGTTGGTGCTGTAGGATTTGCCCATGAGTTTAGTCTCTCCAAAATCCTGCTCTAAATCTTGCTCCTGATTTTCTTCTTCTTCGTTGTTGTTGTAGTTGTTGTTGTAATAACTGTTGTCAGTGTTGTAGAATTGGGCGTTCTTGTTGTTGTCAAATTCGGGTCTGTTTGCACCATTGTAATAATTGGTGTTCTTGTTGTTGTCGAATTCTCCCCTGTTTTCACCATTGTAAAAATCTGTGTTCTTGTTGATGTTGTCATCATCCACTTGTCCTCTGTAGCCTTCAGGCTCAGTCACGTAGGATTCTGTGTTGTAGTTCTTGGGCAAGTATTTCGGGTAGGATTCTTTTGGCTCACCACTGTTTGGGATGGTTTTGTATGTTTCATCGGTGGCGGCGGCGGTGGTGGTGGTAGATGGGTTAGTGTTGGCGGCGGCGGTGGTGGTGGCCGGAGGTAACTGCCCTGACTCATGGCCGTAAAGACCGTATCCGCCATTTTCATTTTCAGGGACAAAGCTTGGAACTTGCTCTTGCTTATCTATCTTCCCAATTTCTACAAACTGATCCGTCTCCTTTTCAACTTTGTTGACATTGCTGGGTACTTTGTTGAAGAATTGGCTGTCCCGGGCTTGGATTTGTACAGAAAAGATGAGAGCCAGGAGGAAGAAGAAGAGGCATTTCTTGGCAATAGAAGCCATTGACGAAGAAAGGGGACAGAGGGAGAGAAAGGGAAGAATGGAGATGGGTTGAGTCTTAGGTCTTGTGAACTTTGTAATGGTTCGCTTCTTATATAGGAAGGATCCTTCTTTGGTTTTAAGTCTAGTGTGTGACTGTGTGTAAGAGAGTGTGAAAACTGAAAAAGGGGGGGAGACAGTAGAAGGGATGGATTAACCATTTTTCTTCGATTTCACTTGTGTTTTCTAGTCATTAGGTTGAAATGGGGACACCATAATTCATAATAGGTGATGACCAAAAGAGATTTTGGTCCATTTTCATAATAGCATTTCTTCAAAAGGGTTCTTTTCCTTTTTCTCCTTTTATTTTCTCTTCTTTTTTCTTTTTGGTTTAACTTCAAATTCAACCCTCATTCATTGTCTTGTAAAGAAAAGAAAGATAAGGAACCTTTTTTTTTAATTATTAATTACAAAATGACATGCATTAATGGTTAGTAAATTTGTTATCCATATCATGCATCATTCTTAAGAAATGAAGAATAAGGGCCACAAAAAATCCTAATGGAAATGATTTTAGAAATTTCTTCAATTGGAAATGGCGCTAATGAAGGCCAAATTTAAAACATTTGGCAAAAGGTACGAAGAATTCACATTGAAAATTAATTTGGAGATCCCGTAACTTAGGGGGCTAGGCTAAAACAAAACAAAAAGAAAAGAGAGAAAAAAGAAAAAAAAAGAAAAAAGAAAAAAAAGGAGAAGAACAAAAAGATGGAGCCGGTTAATGATGCGGGGATTGAGCAGTGGGGGTGGGACATGGTTGAATTATAATGGCGCCATTCAAAACACACACTCATCGCATGTGCTCTCTAATTTTGTCTAAACCTAATCAATTCCAATTTTATTTTATTTCTTTTAAGAAAATAAATTTTCTGATTTCTGCGAAATGTTGAGTTATTGTGAATCATCACTCATGACATTCACCCTATCTTTTTTACTTCTTATAGTGATTGCTTGGACCATCTCCTTCACTTTCTTTCCATGCCCTACTCACTGAAATAAAACTGTGCTTGTCCCACTTCCCACAACTAATTTTTCCATTCCTGCAGAGTTAGTTGTGCCCTGCAGCTATTCCAACCCAACAAAACACAACACAACACAACCCAAACAATTGCTATTTCATTGATTCGGCACTTTTTTTTGGGTCTTTTGTTGATGGGTTTGGGAAGAAAGAGGAGGTGTTTGGTATAAATCAAATTTATGAAATGATATTTATTAATACACTCACGTTCTATACCATTGTATAATCGTGTTGTATCGTGTGTAACTATATATAAAATGTTATTGACGAGTCCAATATATGCGGCCCTCAATCGTGGCCGGTCCAAGTTCGAGAAACTATTCAACCGACTGTTCGAAAGCTTTTAGGCCCGTTCCTAATTACTTTCCTATCAAAAAAGAGTTTTATAACCTACTCTATAAATAGGGATCAACCCTCACATCAAAGGTACGCTCTACGCACCTCAATTCATACTCCCATTACAATTAATTTTACTGACTTAAGCATCGGAGTGTGTACTCTCGGGAGACTCCGAGACCCTATTTTGCAGGTTTTAGGGTTCTAATACTGCCATAGACGCCAGTTCAATCAACGGGAGACATCGATACAAATTTATGTCAGTTATGGTTTGATATACTTTTATTCGTAATTATCAAACTGTAAATTGGATTGAAAAGAAATGCTTATACTATTTAGAAGAAAAGAAGATACTGTACACCATATGTACATGTATAGTACTCTTTTCGATAAAAAACCAAAATAGACAATAAGGAAAATTCAAAATAAATAATAATTTCAAGACGGATTGAGTAAAAAATTTTTAAATTTTTGTGCCGATTTCTCTGATCCACCAATATCAAAAAGAAGGAGAAAAAAAAAAAAAAAACCACTACCCGGCAAAAGAAAAAGGGAAAAGATCCGTGTGGAGGACAAGCATGTCACCGTTATGTTAGTTGGACGGACATAAGTTCGTAGTACATGTTACCATCACCAGTTTGCCCCCCATTCTCAATTCTTTTTTCTTACAATTTCTGTGTCGAAACTTGAAAGTTGTCCTGTCTGGTTCAGGCCTTGGCCTTTTTCCCGAGCTCAGAAAATAATAAAATTTCGTTAATTTGTATGTCTAAATTAACCCAACTCGGTAAAAAGAATCGTAGTGTACCAAATAGTCAATACCTAGAAATGCTGGCATTATGTGGAATAACATATGTAAAAATTTTCCTTCGCTGTAAGACTTTTTTAACCAATGTCGACCAATGGAACAGAGGTCTGACCTGCCACCGTTGACCCTAGGCAAAGGCAAACCATTCCGCCAGAAATGGATTCTCTGCATAATTTTGGCCAAGACATAAGACTCGTATCAGATATAGACAAAAACAAGTTTTTCTTTCACTTTTAAAATATCCTAGCTTTTTTTTTTCTTCATAAAGAAATAAAAATAGATTCTATGAGACATTGTGTTATTAAATCAGTGAAATGGCCCTTAAAAAAAAATCAGTGGAGAGGTTTTGATTAATTAATATACATTTCATCAATATCGTATCAATTTGGCATGACATTCCCTCATATTGATCATGTCAGTTGAGAAGAATATAAATCAATTGTGTATGCATTAATATTATTACCGTATATATGTGGCGTAAATTCATTGGATAACCCCTTGCTCAGATCATCATCACGAATGTTTTTCTCTATTCATAAAAATATAACAAAAGAATCATATTCTACATATTAATAATAATTTTATACTACTTGTATGAGTATGCAAAAATTGAAAAAACAAGAATTATATCTCAAGACTCAGAAACAGAATGGACATTCCCTTAAAAAATGTCAACAAAGAGTTTGACCAAAGGATTCCGACAATCCACTTAAATTAATCACACGCTATGGGCCTTTATGTAGCTTTTTTTTCTGCGGGGGATTGGATAAAGTGCCATTTTCCTGCGCGATCAGCGGAGGTGCCTTTCCAATTTGGTAATCCCAGTAGTAGTAGTAGTAGTATTATTATATTATTATTTGGATATTGTACCTCAGATCAAGAGGAAAAGTCTCTTCAATTGAACTACTTCACATATTGATTTTTGTCAATATTGTTAAAACTACCCCATCCTCCTAATTCTTCTAAATTATTAATACACCAAACAAAAGTGGCCGCGAACGAAAGGGGCAAAGAGAAAGAAGTAAAAGAAAAATGCCAAAGCTACCTCCAATTCTCTTTTTCTTTTGTCCTTTTTGACTCTTGTTATTTTATCTATACTATTTTTTTCCCCCTCTCGGATGAGAGGCAACAATACCTCCATACTTTGGTATTCCTGCCACTTTCTTTTGTGTTTTTTTTTTTTTTGCCTTAATTAATGGATCTCCGATACATTGTTTTGATTCGTAGACGAAATTTTGGGAAAATAAGACATCATTTCCCTCCGTGATTAGTTTGCAAAATATGCTCTTAAGTCTTAACATACTTTTGGATGGCTCTTTTAGAATTACGTCACGCGTCACATTTTGTTTTATTTGTTGATTGATTATCGTTTCCAGTCGTCTTCTCTCCTCAACTCACTCTTATTCACTTCAAATCCCAACTTATACAAAATGGCGGAGAAGGAAAGGGTATATATGATTGACTGTTTGTCTCCGTCTTGGGTGGAAGAAGAGATTTTGCATTATTCTTTTTATCCAACTCCATATCGATATAATTTTTATTGAACAATAACTTACACCTTAACGATTGATGAATAAGCTACTAGTAAAGAATGTCTGATGTAAATCGGTAATCAAATTGTGATATTATAAATTGATTATATAACTAAAAGATAAGTATACATATTTATATGATTGGCATTAAAAAATACTTTACATTCAGTCACTTATTAGCATTTGGACCAATTAATTAGATTATCTAAAATGAAATGACAATATGAAACACACAGGTGTTCTCCAAAAAAAAAAAAGAAAAAAGAAACATCGGTACTACAATGTTTTCATAATCAACTGATCACTTGGACTGATAAAAACAAACTGATCACTTGGATCATAAACCGAACAGTTAATAAAGGTATAAGTTTCTCCTAACTTAAATTAAATTAAAATGATACAACTTCTAGAATATACGCCAGTCTATGTAGCCGAATAGGCCCAACCTTGGATTTTGGAGCAATGCTTCGTTTAGGTATCAATTGTTCCAAGACAGCCTCAATTTCGAAAATGTGGTTCAGTTCATAACATTTGGACATTGTGTCTTGGGCCTTCGAGCTTGAAACCACAAACTGACACCTGCTGCTTTAGTTCTGTTTTCATGACATGAGGCCATTATAACTTTTAGTTCTTTCAGCCATAAATTTTCAATTTTGACCATTTTGTCTCTATTATTTGATAAGCCAACTTGAAGGAGAGAGAGGGAGATGAGGAGAGAGAGAATAAGCCACTCAGATCGAACTGGGTAAGTTATATGGTCCGATTCACGTGAAAACGGACAAATTATTAATTTTTATTTTAATGTTAGTTTATTCGCAGTATTGTTGCATTTTGAATATCTCGTACTTTAAACATTATTAACAATATTTATACTTTAGTGCTTAAACTCTAAATTTTATATTTATTTGAAAATAAAAAAGTAATTAGTTTTTATTTGAAAACAAATTTAAAATTATTCGTTAAGTTAATTTATTTGAATTGATATTAAAATATAAATATTTTGCTTCAATCATAATTATACAAATAATAATTGTACCACAAAGATTGTGACAAAAATGTGCAAACATATTAACTATCTTTTGTATTACAAAGATTAGTGATACTTAATATAACTCAAATAATAAATTATTCATAAATTTAATGAATAAAGATTTTAATGACCTAAAAACTAGATTAACTAATTACAAAAAAAACAAAAACAAAAAATCTAAAAATTAAAAAATATCAATGAGTCAGATTGATATTTTTTTAATTTTTAGACTTTTTAAATAACAAATATTGCTATTTTTTTAATTACAAAAAAATAACAAAAAAGACAAAAAAAAATCTAAAAATTAAAAAAAAATAGGCCTGATTGGACGGGTTCACCATATCAGACCTAACCGGGACCGACCGTGCAATGAAATCGTCCTGAGTTAACTCAGGACGGGTGGACCGCCCGTCCAGGGCAATGATCCCGTTCGGGCAAACAAGTGGGCGGGCGGTCCACTCGTCCCGGGTTAACTCGGGACGGTTTCATTGCACAGTCGGTCGGTTTTTAATTTTATTTTTTTTTAGTTTTCAATTTTTTTTAATTTTCTCTCTAGTCAAGTTATTTGATTTGAAAAAATGACAGGGATAAAATGATCCAAATTAAAAATTTATGGCTGACAAAACTAAAATTAATGGATTGAAAAACTAACGCACATTATTTATATCCGATGCGTTTTTATCTTTTTTTTTTTTTTTTTTTCTTCTGATCCTGGGCTTTCCAGGACTCACTCTATAAAATTCCACGTATCAATCCCCTAAAATTCCACAACTCACTCTATACCTCACTTTATAAATTTCTAGAAGCTCAGGACTTGTTTGTCCAAATTTTATTTTGCCTTTTTGTCTCATTTTATGTCTTGAATACAAAACCCAACACACTATTCAAACAACATTTTAATTTACTTTTTAAAAAAAATTCCAAAAATTATTTTTTCACAATTTTTGTCCATCACCACCGGACCATCTCCACCACCGCTGCTGCCGGCCCGCGACGGCGTAGGGTGGTCCGGCGGCGAAGGTAGGTAATGGACAAAAAATATTATTATTTTAATTAAAAACTATCCACACAATATTTTAATTTTTTTAAAAAATAAATTTTAAATCACATCTCAAACTCAAACAAAAAACTAAATCAAAAACTAAAACAAACCAACATCTATACAAGACCTGAGTATTGGGGAGCTTATTTTGCATTAAAAATAGTTTGGCAGTTCGGCTTCAAGAAAATCCAACTGCAAATTGATAGTTCAAATGCTGTAAATAATTTTTTGTTTCTATCAATGTCTTACTTAGGATCAAGGTCTTGTTAAATTATCAGTAGGATGTAGAAACTTCTCAAATAAAGTGTAGGGTGAACAAAGTTGCGGACTCTCTAGCGAAGTTAGACTTATTGTTAATTACAGCCGGGGCAAAGCAAACCCCCGGAGCACTACCCTAGATGCATTAGTTGCAGATTGTCCGTCTCCTCCTAGAGGTACAGAGTTTTTTGTTCTGAGTGTTTAGCTCCCTTTGTACTGAGAAAAAAAAAAAAGAAAGAATTTTGGTGAGTACTAATGATGTGCTCTCTCTGTCTATAAAAAAAAATAATCATATTAAATTTTAAAATTTGTATTATTTTCAAATTAGAGGAAATATATAGTAGGATTATATTAAAATAATGTTACAATCGCTGTGGGTTATAGATTGTTAGGCAGAAAAATCAGAAGCGGACTCATTAGCTAAGCTCCTATATAATATAAACTAGAAAGTGTAAAGACGCAGAAAACCGTCAGGATATATTAAGGCATTATCGTCCGCACGGACTAGAGATCGATGCATGTATGTATTTGTTTTTGATACATAAATGACAATATATATATATATATATATCTGTTTACATTTAAGTAGGATAATAACAATTCTCAAATCTTGACAACAATTCGATAAATATCCAAACACAATTACAACTTTTATATGTGTAAAACAAATTCAATCACATATGGCATATAAACCCTTCACTTTAAATTCTTTAAGAAAAATCCCATGCTTTCTCTTTCAAAATTCCCATTTTCTTTTTCCTTTTTATTTTCCATTACTTCATCATGCTGACATGGCAACCATGGGAGCAGCTGGAGGCGAAAGCTGACGTGGAGTCAAATGAACCTTGAGTCCATTCTTCATGAACAAGGTCAAAGACATCTTTTGTTGAACCAGGTGACCGGGAACCAGGGATAGCCGGTAGCGAAGAAGTACGGCAGAAGCCACAGACTTCATCTGAAGGTAAGCCAAATCCTTTCCCAAACAAGTTCTGGGTCCCCCATTAAACGCCACAAACTTATACGCATCCTTGGGCTGCTCGAACCGGTCACCTCCGGGCGAGAGCCATCTCTCCGGTTTAAACTCCATGCAATCATCCCCCCAAATGCTCTTCATCCTCCCCATCGAATAAATCGAATACGTCACCGTCGAACCCGCCGGAACCCGAGTACCGTCCGGCAAAACGTCGTCGGACACCACGTACTTGAAATCCTCCGGGACAGAAGGATAAAGCCGGAGAGTCTCAGCCAATGCAGCCTTGAGATAAACCAAACGATCGGCTTCGTCAAAAACCAAGGGCTCTTCCGTCCATTTCTTATCATCATCCCCCCGGGTTTCTCGTAGGACGGTGGTTAATTCGGTTATGATCTTCTGTTCGACCCGGGGGTTATTCATGACGAGCCAGAAGAACCAGCTCAGCGCGACGGAGGAAGTATCCCGTCCGGCTAACACGAAGTTGAGCGCGATGCGCTTGAGGACTGAACTGGGGAAGAAGTTTCCGTCCGCATCACGTTTCTTCATGAAGCGGGATAAGAGATCATCCGAAGGAGATTCTTTTCTTGCGTCCAAAGCTTCCGTCATGTAATTCTCCACGACTTCAAGGCTTTTCTTCAGCCTCATTTCAGCTCCGAAATTGAATAGCTTCTTTATTCTCCATAGAAAACCCGGGTAAAGCAGCCTCTGTAGAGTGGCTTCCGTTGCAGAATCAAATGAAAGGGCAAATGGGTTCTCCGGTAATTCCGGTGAAAGAGTTTCTGGATCTTTCCCGAAGGTAAGCCCGCAAATGTTGTCGAACGTCAAACGTAGTAACAAGTCTTGCAAGTCAACCGCGACGTGGTCTCTTGAGGATTTCTCCAAGATGACCCATAACCGGGTTCGGATGGTCCGGTTCACCCACCGGTTCATCGCCTGGCGAAGTGTCCGGGTCGTGAACTCCAGTGCCGCGGTCTTCCTCTGTATCAGCCACGTGTCACCGTCGCTGTTGAAGATTCCCTGTCCCAAGAGATCATGGAAGGCGGTCTGCCACGTGGGCCCTTTCGGGTAGTTATCGAACCGGGTTCGGAGGATGTGCTCGATGTTTTTCGGGTGACATGTGACGGTATAGAAGCCTTGTTTACGTGCTAGAAATGGGATGGCGATTGTGGTTGTTTGGTACGTGGCAGCTTCCCCGGTGGACAGGAGGTTTCCGGCTATCCAATCGTGTATTCTTCTCCGGTTCAGGTAAAGAAATGGGAGACTGCCGAAAAGTGGGCAGACTTTTGGGCCGGTGAGCTTCCGAGCTAAAAGATGAAACCATAAAAGGTACGTCGATGTGCCCACAATTATGGCGGCAAGCAGCAGGGCATCCATTTTGTCAGGACAAAATTGTTGTTAAAAATTGATCGGTGAATGATGAATTGGTGCAGTTGAGGGAGTAAAGAAATGAGAAGAAATCTTCTGCCGTTTTTTTGGTTTTGGCAGTGAAGAATTCAGTGAATTTGTTGTGAATGAGAGAAGTGAGAGATGGACTAGAGTAATATATAGAGAATGATATAAAGAAAAATATTTAGGAGAAGGTTGTTGGGAAAAATCTTGGTCTCTAATTTAGGTGCAGTGGCAGTGGAAGATATAAAACTCAATTTTCAGAAGAAAACAATGGATCGTATATTTTTTTAACTTAAAATTTAAGTCCAGCTTTACTATCTGGAGAGTATTAAATTAAATAATTAATTGGCCATGACAATATTGGCAGGTAAACTGGTCAAGTACGTCCCATTCTGGATTTGTTGTGGTTGGATTAATTTCTGATATTTTTCTGATGTATTCTTGGATGGATTTTGTTTTGTCTTCAGAGTTCAGACGCATGCATGCATTAATTAATTAATTGATGCATGTACACTGAGACATCTGATCTTTTGTATGTTTTGTTCTTCAGAGTATTATTGTTATATATGTTCGTCCTTGTTGTGCTACGTTAAACACTTGCATTATAAATTTATAACAGTGTTTAAAAAAAAACACTGATTGATCGAGAAATGAAACACGAGCATGAAGGAAAAGTTGTTTGCTTGAGAAACAATTAATCAATCCAGCAAGAGTACAACCGATTGATCGACACTACAGCTTTATTATTACATTGAGAGATTTAAGGGAGCAAGTTAGTCTGCGGGAGTCTTGTACACTGAGTTAATCATCATATAACACATACAAATAAAGAAAGCGGTGGTTGGAAACGGTTTAACCATGTCGAGAAATAGGAGTTTTCTTGGGGCAGCAAATTAAACCTGAAAAAAAAACTTTGGAGGGCGCGTCAATAAGAAGGCTTTAAGTAGCTATCGATTGCTGGAAGGACACGACTTTGACTCTCTCGCAGAGGGTAGTTCTCAATAGGAAAGAACTTTCCAAAGCTAAAGAAAGAAATTTTCACTCACACACCCACACACGAGGCAATAGATTGGTTTAATTAATTGTTCTTCACGTTGTTTGCTTTGATGATCATTGTCTCAGGGGAGGAGAACTCTCACAAGTACAACCACCATATTTTTGAAAGAGGGCAACATAAAAAGGTCTTTCCTTTTCGGGTTTGCCCATGGTAACTAATGAAACAAGAGAAAAAATAGTGAAACTAGGGATATCCGGTCATGTATTGGGGTTCCCTTGTATCTATCCACGTATAGTATTGTGTGTTTGACTTCCTTTCGTAAGAAAACGTATCATGTATTTCGCTCTCCCAAACTTTTGGAATATTTTAAAGATACTTCTTATGGACAAAAATGACTAATCAAATTGTTGAATTAAAGTCATTAAACCCATTAAACTAAAATCAAATACTCTGTCCGTTCAAAATAAGTGTTATTAAAGGTTGCCAACCAACACACTAAAATAAATGGTTGCCAAAAACACTATTTCTTTTGAGGGTAAGTTTGGAAATTTTGGACAAAAAGTACATTGAATATTTTGAAAATTTTCTATTTTGCTAAAACGATACTTATTTTAGAACGAAAGGAGTAGTGTATAGATATAATGTTCATAACTTCTTATGTTATAGGATAAATTATGATAGCAGAATATAGCAAATGCAGCACAAGGAAATGATCTACATTTACCAACAAAGAGAAGCCCACCTGAACAATTAATTTGGGACTAATTCAGTTTACATAAAACCACCTTTTAAGTGTACCAATGTCGAGAGAGTAAATTCAAGATTGATCCCGGTAAATAAAGTAACAAGGATATCTGAATCCAGTATCCGATTAGGGTTGTTATCACTTATGACATGAATTCATTGCCAGAACTTCTTAGCTCCTACTATTCCACGATAAAATGGCAATGGAGTGGATGAAGTGGTTAACATCGATGAGAGATAACTTCCAAGTTTTGAGTTAATGATCAATACTTACGCCATGGGATTCAGAGATAAAAACAGAACAACCATTTACAGTAATTCCTCAAATCATAAATCCAGAAGGTAACAGAAGTTATTATTATTACAGCATTTCCCCACAAAAAGTGAGAAAAATACACGAACAAAATCCAGAATTTCATTCAACGATCATTCCCAGTATACTCCGGTACTGGGTTCCAGAAGAACAGCCAAAACAAAAACAAATTCGGGATTAAAATCGGAATCCAAGGATTAACATCGCTTCCAAGGCGTCTCCTTCTCAGTCTTCTTCGAACATATTCCCTCCTCTCTGCTTCACCCCACCGAGCTTCCTCCACTCCATCAGCAAGTTTAATTGGTGGCGGGATCTGATACGCGCACTTTGACCTCCAAGAATCCCTAGGAAAATCACATCCTGAAACCCTTTTGAGGTAAGTTAATAAAGCCCATTTCAATTGAATCGAAGGGAAATTCTGGGAGGAGGATTGGTTGCAGAGAATCGGAGGATAGTCCCAGTGGAGGTAACAGGGGATTTGGGTGGCTATGAAGTACTGAGAATGGAGGGACGGTGAGGTTGTGGGGCTGGTTATGATGTGGGTTAAGGCATTAATTCTTTGTTCCCAGGTTGTCTCTTCCATGGTTTTACAATTTCCCCTGTTTTCGATGAGGGGGGGATTTTGGAATGTGTGGATTTTTCTGAACTCAGAATGGAAGACGGATTGTATGTAGCACGGATGGCATAAAACAGGATAAGCCATGTTCTTCTCTTTTTCTTTTCATTTTTTCTTAATAAATAATAAAGGAAATATAAGAATCCACTTATGTGAGATAACTTTTATTGGTAGAATAGTATGTTCAAAATTCTTGTTTCATGAAGTACACGTTACTATCCAATTCCTACCGAATCTGCAAACTCGATCAATACAATGAACCAAACTTTCATATTAATCGGACGTTTGGCTTATGGTTTTCGAGGGGGGAGATAAAAGACAAATCTCCACAAAAGTAATCTTACAGGCTCTAAACGTAAAATTTGGTGAAAATCAGCTTTCGTTTCAAGGTATTTTGCTAGAAAGACCACAACAGTAGCAGTGCTTGTCAAGCAGCAGAATGCATTAAATCCACACCGATTTGGCATGCACAATCAGATAAAGTCAGCCACAAGGCATTTCTACTCCGCCGATCTACTCTAACCATGACTATCAAATGAACTAACAAAAAGCCCCTAAACTATCCTCGGCTTAGCGGGTTTCAATCATCATTTCTGAATTTCTTCTATATCTTTCGAGGTTCAACCAGCGGCAATTCCCTGGTCGCACCATCAAACCCAGAAAAATGGCAGAATATTACAGGTCATTAGTTACACGACATCGTGATCTCTAGCAGTTGAATCTTGATGAACCACATATATCATTCGAGTTCTCCGCTTGTATAACATAACAATGCAGTCTTCTGACTCTCTGTAATCGGGCTCACAAGTAGCTACTGGTATTTGAATCATTGTTAGTATCTGTATCAGGGAAATGCGTTTCCACTCTCATTCTCAATATCGTGCCCTCCTCGGCCTCAAAAAAAAAAAAAAAAAGAAAAGAGAGTACCATTCGAGCTTTAACTAAAACATGATGCAACTAGCATGAAGATGAACAATACTGGAGAGGTGATCACAACTGAAGCCTGCATCGGGCCAAAGAAACTCATTGAGCAAGTTTCAAATAAAAATCACCTTGTTATGGAAGTACAAAAACAACTAAGAGAAATAAAAATTGCTACCATAAAAAAAACCACTTCCTTGTGCACAAGAACAGCAGTAACCTTATTCCTTAACATATACTGCTTGATGTAACCTTGCAACTAGAAGAAAACACAACAGTCAAGTTCACTCTGATATTATTCAATCCTTAAGTATAAGAGAATATAAACATAGAGGTAGCCCTAAGCTGCACATATGCTTCCAAACAGAAAAGATCGCCGAAAGAAGAAATTTCTACTTCATAAAATATTGATCAATTATAGGTGATAAACCATCATTTGTTAAAAAGAAATTTGGAGAAAAGGAGGCAAGAGAAAGATAAAGGTGAATAACAACAAAAAGGCAATGTGAAAGAATATCAAATCAAAGGTCATAATCGAAGGAAAAGGTAATTTCAGGGAAATTCATTCCAGACGATAGATAGAAGTTCAGAGAAGAGGGATGCTGAGAATACCTGATGATGGTAATGTTTTACAGCTGAAAAGGTTTTTCTTAAGCAAATTGGAGCTTCAGAGATGGAGGACTCCAGAGTAGCAAAGCCATCATACAAATATGGATCGAGTATCCAATTCAACATTGCAAAATGATCTCCTACGACATTTTTTATGAACTACGAAGATCACAGCATATCAGATTCTTCAAAACTTATACAACAACGGTATTGAGCTAAAAAAAGAGCATCATTCCACAACTCTTACTCTCACAAACGGGCATCTTGCAGCTCTTAGCTGTCTCTTGACCTTCATTGTTCTAAACTGAAATATGGGTATTCACAAGCAACTTGTGTCAAATGAATGATCCCTAAATACTATTCAAAAAAAAAGGAGAGGAATAAGAAACACCTCTGCCATGTGAACAGCTTGTTCAAGTTGCTGAATTTGAATCCACTGTTCAGATATGATTTCAGTAACCTGTACCGCAGAAGTCAGAATTTCAACAGAAAACAGCAGTTAGTTTGCTACTTCAATCCAACAGATACAAGAAAAGTCAGTGAACTTATCAATGCTCATTGACTGACCTCATTCACCTGTGCTTTGGTCCCATTTAATCTCTTCTCAGCATCACGCAGTCTACATTCCAGTGTGTGAATCTCAAAATATTTTTTTCTTGAGGTAGACCAAAGAAGTGTAAGCTGTACAAATTATAAGTTCACTACAGATATTAATGATATTATGAAACCGACTTTTCAAGCTAACTCCAAACTTCACTACCTCAGCTTCAAGATTGGAAACCTTTTCATTTACATGCGAGTGATCAGCCTACAATTAAATAAACAGATTACCATTAATCATTACATTGGAGTACACAAATAACTGCAGCAAGAGGATGATGAGTTGATCATATGATGCATTACATTAAATGTCTTGTAAGCAATGGATTATAAAGGAATGAAAGTATTTAGAATTTCATTTATATGATTAGTTCCAAAAAATAACGAATAAAATTTTCTCATTCCTGATCCCTATATGATCTGGAGTTGGAAAGTCTAGAAGAAAATAATTTCAATTGAACCTTAGAAACGCTCAGCTAACGACACACCTCAAGACTGGCCAAAGAACTTCTTAACGAATTAGTAAGAAGGTCCAACTCCTCAATCTTCTTCTCACATGCTTTGATACGCACGCTTCTCTCATTCAACTCTTGGATGCTTCTCTCAAGATCGGTTTCTGTGATGAAATAGATTCGAGTTAAAATCAACACAACCAGTTACTCCTTGCTAAAAAAAGATTGACGAAATCTTAATTCCGAAACAAAATGTCAGCAAGGAAAATCATACAGAGCGAAATACCATCAAGAAATAAATGAGATATAAATGTACTACAGGCAATCGATTCCATCTATGGAACACCTGCAATGACAGAGTGTATGAAGTGGGGAACTTACCTAATTGAGCCAGCTTAAGTTTGGATTCTTGTATTTCGCGAAGCAAAGCGATACGGCTGGTAGGCTGATCCCCGCTGCTTGGTGGCGGTGGAGTCTGATGAATTTCCATTTGAGAGGACGGAGCCGGTGACTTCAGGAGAAGAAGAAACAGTAGCAAAATAATCGGCAACGCCATTCTCCCCTCACTCCAAATGCTGCGACTGACTTGACTTTATAACTCTTCTTTTTTCCTAGAAGCCCTCATATTTTCAACTATTTTAAGTTCCTCACATTTTTTCCACCAAAAAAAAAAAAAAAAGTAAAAAGTTTATTTTCATAGTATTTTCTTACATTTAAGTAATTTTCACTCTTCATTGGAAATTACTAAACTACCTAGGAACCTTTTTTATGTTTTTTGCGATGAATATTAATTTATTAAAATTTGGGTAATTCCTTTTCCATCCCCTAAAAAAGGGTAGGTCATGTTTAAGTACAAAGTTCCGGGGCAAAATCTAGCAGCATTGTCAATTTCATTCCAACATTGAAACATTGAACTTTAATGAGTCATGATAAAAACTAGCAGAGACTGCTGGTTCGCTTCTACTATCCATTCCTGATTATACCATCCATTCAGGGTGGCCACTTTTCTGTAATCTTATAACAACTGATCTAAGGTGATTGTCTATCAAAAGGGGCATTTGCAGGGCTCAATTCCCCAAGTGTGCTTCGCGTACTCTTCAATCGTCCGATCACTGCTGAACTTTCCAGCGCCGGCTGTACTGAGAATGCTCATTTGTGTCCATTTTTCTTGATCAACAAATGCTCTATCAGCTGCAGCCTGCAGTTTTTGTTCTTGTTAGGTTTATCTTTACTTCAGTTCCAAGTTTTTTTTAAGTCAGATTATCTTTGTCAAGAAGGTTACCTGAGCCTCTAGATAACTGGTGAAATCATAGCCGAGGAGGTAGAAATCTTTCTCCTCCTCCAGTGTGTCACATAATGATTTGAAGTAGTCTTCGAAGCCAAAGTAACCATCTCGCACCATCCTGCGTATATTTGACTCCGTTATTAATCATGAAATTGAGACAGCCACACTATCCTGGAGTTACAAGATAAGTGAATTTGCTTAATTATCATTTACTCACCTAACAACTCTGGCAAACTGAAGAGGTGCTTTGAGGGAAGCTCCTTTCTCACGCAGTGCTGGAATTTCATCCAACTTTGCACCAAATATGAACTGGCAAAAAATTATGGTATATCAAAAAAGAATGACAAGCAAATTGAAACTGATCATGGCAAAACTGGTGCAATAGCCGGAAAAAAAACTTCAAATGCACAAATATTTCAACGAGTCTCAGCAAATATTAGGTCTACTGCAAGGTGTTGTGCCATCTGTATCGGATCTCAAACACATGGGAAAAAAGATACTCATAAAATGCAATCAGAAGAGTAGCAGAAAGCCAATAATAAACCAGGCTGCATATCAAAAAACTTTTCAGTTCAAACGACTTTATAGTTTGATTGATCTGTATCTGCAATGCCCTAAAATTGGTGAAAAGGTTTATTCATTGTGATATTTTTTGAACAAAAAGGTTTCAATGTTATTCAGAAGCTCATCATGCATCAAAACAATCTAGAAGTCAGCACGCACATGGACTACATTGAATCTCACTAAAAATCTGAACATAGCATTAAAAGACAAATAACAAACTAAAATGTTGTTTAGTAACAGTTACCTAGTAATCACAACAAATTTTTCAGATATTTTTCACAAGAAACGGTTACGTTCAGCTTTGATCAGTTATTAACCTTGTGATGATCAGCACAACTATAAAATTGACTCAAATAACTCAAAGATGAAGCTATCTTGGTCTTCAAAATGAATGCTATACAAGAAAGAACACCAGAGAAAGCACAACAGTCGTACAACACTTGTCATTAAGATGCTGCAAACAAACGCAAGGGATATACAGCCTTTCATATCTACCATGTTTTCTGCCCCAACTTCTTCCATTATTTCAACTGTTGATCCATCCGCTGTAGCCAGCAGCAAACATCCATTCATCAAAAACTTCATACTGCCGGTTCCAGAAGCCTCATGTCCAGCCGTGCTTCGAAGAAGTAAAGAAAAATATGTAAATTTAGAAAAAAGAATCACTGTTTTTTCTTTAAAAATTAGACACCCGAGACTATCAACCTATCAATGTATACATCCGACCTAAAATTATTGACAAATTCCCAGGCTTTCGTATAACATTACCCATCTAATCAGAAGAAATGAATGGTTAACATGCCCTAAAATTGACACTTACCTTATGTGCTGCGACAAGTCACTGCCAGGTATAACCAGTTCCGCTACAGAGACATTGTAATCCGGGATAAAAACCTGTGATAGTATGAAGTTGGTTCACATTTCTAGACATAACAATGACAGGATGGAGTTTAAACACTTATTTTTAATGCAGGAAATAAAGGAAAAACATCGAGGCAAGTTTCATGATAACCCCCTACCATCATTTCGACTTCCATCCATCTTTCTATGTTATAAACAGAGAACACGTAATAGAAAACAAATGATCATGAAATACTTGGCCCAAGTATAAGCAACCATGAATGCATTCAGAAGACAGCATAAGCATATATTTTGCAATGAACTTAAACCAAAATCAGGAGACCAAATATGGAAATGTATTACCATAGAAGAACCTAATCAGTACTAATACAACGAATTGAAATGGTAAAAGAAAGTTCAATGTCTAATCTTCATCGTCCTAATCCTTCGCATTTTCTTATGCAACAAACATGTTACATCTTCATATGATAGTGTTTGTACCACGCAAATGCTGAGCACACGTGCCATTGTATATGCAAAAATATGAAACCACTCAACCTCACAGCTTTAGGGCATCCTACCAATTTCAGGAGATCCCCAACATCAGCATCATTGTTAATTTTATCAGCTACAGCATGACAAAGTTTGATAATCTTCTTAGCGATGTCATAACCTGGGGCAGCTTTTCCTCCAATTATGCAAACGCGAGGCACTACCTTCCCCTTATCGCTTGCACTCATGTTCTACAAAAAGCCAAAAAAAAGGTATATAATCAAATAGCGTCGAAGGAAAATTCTTTCATCAGGTTTCAATTTGCTTTGCCACTTTTATGATTTCAAAGGATACTGTTTTGGAATCAGTGGAAAAGATACCTTTATACAGTCAAATCGATGGATCACACCCAAAATGTTCAGCAGTTGCCTCTTGTATTCATGGATTCGTTTTACTTGGACGTCAAACATTGCATCTAAACTAACCTGCAATAAGAGACGAATAAATCTCTAATACATCATATCCAAATTTTACATGCACAAACAAAATTATTCAAACACCAGTAGCTATACTAAACCTTTACACCACTCAGTGTTTCAATATATTCAGCAAGCCTCAATTTGTTAACCTTCTTTGCCTACAAATGTTAAAAGAGATTAAGCAACGGGTGGAAAGGAAAAGAAAAACCGGCATCATGTAAGAGATAGAAGCAGAACATTAAAATAACACTAGTAAAACATAATTAAATATGCAAGTCAGTTTCATGTTTTACCATCTTCCACTCACGTTGAAGGTCAGGATCTGTTGCATATTGTCGTAAACCACCCAAAAGGTCAACATTCCTGATCCAGGATTCTGTTCCCAGCCATTTTGAGATAAGTGAACACAAATTTGGATTGCTCACCACCACCCAGCGGCGCTAGAAATAACCTCAAGGAAGTCAGGATACTTCTCACACAAAATATTACATGCCTCGTACAATTAGAGGCTAGCGATATGAAAAAGATATAAAGATTCCATCTCAATAATTTACACAAGGGACATCTTAAAGTCAAAAGTAAGCATTCAAATGAGCAGAGATAACCATTTAGAAATTTATCTCTACAGATTTCTCTCTATAGAAAGTACACATTCAAGGATTAGAAAGTCCTTGCCTAACCTGTGTCACTCCATTTGTCTTGTAATGGAATTTCTGAGGCCACAACTCACAAAAATCCTGCAAAATTTATACCAACTATTAGCTTATAGAACTAAATAGAACTAACACAAATCTATCAACCAGAATCAGTTGCTGCCCAAAGAGACCTCCAAAAAAATGGTATGTAGGTCTAAAAACCAACTAAAGAGTATAGAATATATTTTACCTTAAAAACCCTTTCTTTAAGTAGCTGAAGATGTACTTTGGAAACTCCATTCACAGTGTGAGAACAAACAATTGACAAGTTTGCAACTCGGACGTTCTGTCAACTCAATAAAAGAAAAACATTTAGTTAGAGAACTAACTTTGCAAGGAAAAAGTAAAATTAAGGAAACAGTCGTGAGTTGTGATATGAGGACAAAGCTTTAAGACGTAAAAGGCATTCTTCAATAACAAAGAAATTCCAGAAGCACCTCAAATAAGCCTCAAATATTAAGTTGTTCGGATATTAGGTATTTCTGATGAATAAGCTTAATACTTCACCACTTCTAGACAATAACAATTAAAGGGCTACCCTCAATTGCCATTTTTACTATTGTTTTTCTTCAACAACATTTGTCGATCCAGATACCACATATTTCATTGTAGAGAATAGTGTCACCCAACCACTTCAGAAAAGACATATATTTAAAGGATTCCCTTATTTCCCTTCTAAGAGGAAATATACATAAAGTTCAGTAGCAGATACGGTAGAGTCCCTTCATGGATATAAGGCTAGATGAAGACTAAATCAGCAAAATGGGGAAAACTGAGGGGTAAAAAGACCTGAAAGGAAGAATAAGATTAAGCCCATAACTATTGTTATTACATTCTGAACTGAACTTAGCATTCATGCTCTGAACTGAGCAAGCATTCATTGCATGAGCTAAGTTCAGCAGACCCAGTGACAATTAGCACATTGAAACACAGAAATTTGGAATGATAACAGTTTTGCTCAACCATAGATGATCAAATTTGCCATATTTTCATCCCACCATTCACTTCTTTTAATCTGTTGCTTCCTATAATTTCCAAATAGCATTTGAAGAATGAGGAATGCAAGATCATTCGTGAAAACACGAAACGATACAAAGAAATAGGTATTCTTTCAGAACACTATAGATGTACAAGAAAAAAGAATTAAAGCTTTCAACTTCAGACCACAAATCATGATAAGATTTTTAATGGGAAAAACTGAATGTAAATTTTCATACCTTGACAGCACCTTCCTCAATAATAGACATCCGAGAAAGTCTATCATAATCTTGACCAATAATCTTTTTCAACTCTTCCATGAACTTATAGTTTATCTCATATATGATCTGAAGGAAGTAAAACGATATCTGATTAACTCCACTGAGAATAAAACCGCGTTTTCTTTAATTTCAAAGCACAAGTAATGCAAGTTCAACAGCATGGGGTTGCTATAAAAGGCACTAACTTGTAGATGCCGTGGAAGAAGATGTCCCAAAAGATCAACAGGAACTTTTTCCAATCCTCCAGGCTCCACTGTGTGAGTTGTAAAGGAGAAAATTTTGCAAGTTATTTCAAATGCTCTATTCCAATCCAAATGTTCTTCGTCCAGCAGCATTCTCATTAACTCAACTATCGCAAGAGCTGGATGAGTATCGTTTATCTGAAGAGCAACCTGAAAAAGATTTCCCAAAGATTATGTCACTAGGATCATACGGGTTGTGATATACTACTTAATCACATACTTGTTGCAAACCAAACTCAGTACCCAATAACAACCTTATCAGGTAACTCATCAAAATTTTGGTGGTTATCTTTAAACCTTCGAATAATGTCTTGTAGGGATGCTGAGACAAAGAAATATTGTTGCTTCAATCGCAATTCCTTTCCCTGAGAAATTGAAGTTAAAAAATAAGACAAAGCGATCTTCAAGCTAAAATGATTTCAAAGACAAAAATCGAGGATTCTAGGAACAAACAAATGAAAGAACAGTATCAAAATGTAAGAAGGTAACAAGGAATACTAACATATGAGAATAAGATAGAGAACGCCTAAATATGTTCAGAACAGTAAAATTTGTCTATTCGACAGAAGTTCATCCTAAGACTACTAGCACATTCTCCCACGGGTATGGCATGTGTAAATGATCAAACAAAAAAAAAAGAAAAGAAAAGACTCAAACATTGTAACAATTGGATCACAGCATAACAGCATTCTAAACTGGACAAAGTTACCAAGTTTCCTGAGCAGCAAGAAATTTAGGAGCTACATTTGAAACACCCACCCCCCACCACCACAAAGAAAAAAAAAAAAAGGGAAAAAAGAAGCAGGTAAAAGTGTCTTTTGACAAAGCATAAATTATCTATCCCCAGTAAGGCATTTCTGAGAGCTATTTGCAAAACCTCCCAGCGCTTTTCTTTCATCTTCTTTTTTCGTTTCTCCTTAAATCTGGAAATTCCAGTTCATGCAGAGGAATAGTTACGAACCTGGTAAGAACGGTCATCTGGATACAGGACATTGCTTATTGTTTCAGCCTTTTGTCGATTCATAATGGCATTGATGTAATCACCAGTGTTATACGACTCCTAAAAAATTATATTGGGAGTGTAAGAAGCAGAAATACAAATTAACCAGTGAAACCCTACAAACTGAAAAGTTCAAAGAGTTCAATAACAAAAGTCATATTCTCACAAATTCAAGAGATGCTAATCTTCCTACAAGCCAAGTGGCTGATTTGCATCTTATTCATAGAAAAGGAAACGAAAACGTCAAAAAGCCGCTTTCCATTTGGCTGATATAGTACGTAGAAAGTGAAGCAAAATGCTACAACAATAGACACATTACAAGGATCTACCATGTCATATTTATCACTTGGTTTGGCAGCCCACAATCGAAGGTTTAATGCACTCCGTGTTCCATAACCAGGTATAGGATTATCATAAGCAACAGCCTCCACCTAGCAACAAGATAAAGCAATACTAATAAGGAAATGCTTTCCAAAAACAGAAAATCAGATAAGTATGAGGTGTCTGACATTAAAAGTTAGGTCTGATGTAAAACCATGATTTAAACAGACGAAAATCTGACTCACTGTTTCTCCAGGTATCCAAACTTTGGTTCTCTCTCCATCCAAATCTTCCTCTTCAACTGTCCCATAGAACTTATTGTTGTATGCAGAAATTTGAGGACACATAAACATGTTAGAAAGGACGCACCACTTGGAAGCTACTTAAAACTATACAATAACAAATGCCAAACCTTGACAGAATACGATACATGAACCCTTTCTATCTCCCAGGGGTTTCCAAAGTTCAACCAATAATCTGGTTGTTCCAGCTGGAAACCATCCAATATGATCTGGCGAAATAAACCATATTGATAGCGTAACCCGTAACTGAAAATATATATAAAAAAAGAAACAGGGAATCAACTTCATTACCATCCTTCTACAGAAATATATGACAAAAAAAGAGCGAAAAACATCAAAGGAAATAATAGACTTAGAAAGAAGATGACGTTAGTTTTAATTTAATGAAAATGAATTCAATCCTGTAGCCCAGCCCCACAAAAATGAAAGTCATGACACTACAATAAAGGATAGAAAGAGATCTCTTGTTACGCATTTTTATCAGTCCAACAATACACTTTGAAATCACCATAAAGAATTTTTAAATTTAAATTTCAGAAATTTAAACTGATGATTAGACCTGCAACATGTCCATGCACTAGAGCAATATTATACTATTGATTATGCCTGGATCACATTGTGCCCCTATAATTCAAGTCAAAGAACAGAATAAAATACCCTTTCAGTATATAGCACTAGATCAAGTCAATAATTTTTCAAACTTAATACCATTTTAACAAGCACAAGTATTTCCTATTGGTCCAACACTTAAATCCGGTACAAAATTAGGAGGTACAGAAATATTTCAGAAAATGGAAGGTTGATGTAAAACACTTATTGAAGACTTCCAAGAAAAAGAAGTTCATACCCCCACGCTGGATAGTCCAAAGTTGCCAAAGAATCCATTAGACAAGCTGAAAGGCGAGCTAGACCACCATTGCCTAAAGCTGCATCTCCTTCCTTTGAGGAAAAGAAGTAAATACAAACAAAAGGATCGCTTAGAATGTGATTCAATGCTTCGGATGAGGAAAAAATGGTTTCTCAAACCACAAAAACTCAAAAAATTCGAAAACATATTCCCTGTTTCTAACAACAAAACAAGTCAACAACACAATCATTCAATGATCACTAGGACAGAAACAACAGACAGAAACAGACAGTAGATAATGAAACATGCACCTGCTCTGCCAAAACTTCAAATTCAAACCCAAGCTGATTTAAAGCATCAGCATATTGGTCCCGGATGCCAAGATTTATGACGCTATTTGTCATTGATCGACCTGAAAAACAGAACACCAATATCTGTTTCTACGATGAAAAGATGAAATTTCCAGACAAAATAATCCATGGAGAGTGTAAAGGACGACATTGTAATGTGCTCTCTTTATAAAAAAACATATCCCATGATTTGCAGTGACTAGATAAGTACTTGATGTGACTTCTTCTTCATTTATAAGGGAAGTAAAAATTCCATCATTAGACAGTGTTTTTTGTTAGGTCACGTACTCAGGTGCGTGTGTGCGTGTGGGTGGTTTTTTTTTTTTTTTTTTTTTGGGGGTGGGGGAGGGAATATTGGGGGGTGAAAATGGTGGAGCGTGCGCAACTGACTTCGAGCTAGACTCTGAACCAAGAGAGAAAACAAGCATCACAAACTGCAACTCAAACAGAACATACCCATAAGGAACTCCAAGGAAAGAAAGTAAACTCGCTTCGGATCCTGTTTCTTAACATATAAGTGAGTGTCATGCCACCGTTCTATCAGTCGATCCCTGATACTGTGTGATAAAGCCTGCGTGTGAGTATCATGGAGAGTGGTTATGACAAATAATATTTTAACAAGATGAGGCCGGAAATGGAGCATACAAGTGATTTTAACAAAGACGGGGACACTTTGTCTTCAAAATTGCATGGAGGATTGTAAGGGTCAACCAACCAAAAAAACTCAACTATAAACTGCATGAGGCAATAAGGCAAGATAGAATAAGATAACCATTCTAAATGCACTGAGATTAGAAGAGGGAAAATCCTCGAGTATGGCAATTTGATTCCTCTTCTAGATAGCTTAGAGTTGTTATGAAATTTAATCAATTAACCATGCATTTCAATATTCCATAAATCTGCAGCTTGGTGAAAGTCATCCAGCTTAAGTAGACTTTCCAGGTCAATGATAACAAAATAGGTGCAATCCCCTAACTCATTAAGAGTACTATGCCTTTGCAGATTTTATATGTACTCAGGTTCAAGTTACTCCATACGTATTAATTCGCATTCCAATTCTCAATTCACTAGAGCACTCAATGTAAAACTCTGGGGTTAACCAAAAATCAAGGAGTGCCAAACAGCTGAAGTTCAAGCAAGAAAAGCAATGACAATAAGGAAAACCATAGAGAGAATGGGTAGTCTCAAGAGAATTGGAGGTCATTTTCCAGTTCTTATAATACAAGCTCAAAGCATACGTAACCCGTTGAAGTGATCTCAACAGAGACAAAGGCATTTTACAGAAAAAAAAAAAAAAAAGTATACTAAAGAACCCAACCGAATTAAAGAATAAAGAAATCAACATAAAGTGCAAAGCAGTATCTGATTGAAAATACAAACTTGGGGTGTTTAGTCTTTACAAACACTACCTACTTTTTATCAGAAGGAGCAATAACAGTAAAAGGTCAATGTACAAACACCAAACCAAAATGCAAAAGCAAAGAAAGTCAAAATCAGCACCTGATAAGCCTCAAAATCATCAAAACTAAATCTCGACCTTGCCACGGTATATTCGACGTGATCAAGAATATCTTTCTGCAAACTAACTGAATCATTTTTCAGAAAAACGTCCATCAAGCCGAACATTTTCTCGGCTTTGGCTTTCCTCTGCCCAAAGTCCATTCCCAGTCCAGCTTTCCTCACAACCACCCCTCTTCCACTGACCAACCCAACTCCACCAGTAGTATCACCACCCTTATCACCATCAATGGCATCAACCAATGCCTTCTTAATCCTATCCAAATCCTCAATGTTATCAATCTTATTCCCCTCAGAGTCAGTGACAAAGAAACTCTTAACAAAGAAATCTCCCTCAAATTCAACACTGGCCTTCTCTATTTTCAGTCCTAGAACTTTGAAGACCCTGGTAATCACTTGTAAAAGCCCAATTTTGTTTCGGGCTTTAATCACGAAAAGGGTCGACTCCAAACTGTCGTCATTTTCGACAGTAATGGTAGTGGTGGAAATTGGAGTCGAAGGCGTTGGGGATTCAGTGAGTTGAGTGGGTTTATCATTAGTGGCTCTGGGTGGGACGAAACGGCCACCATTGAAGGTGATGAATTGGGTTGAAAACGGGAACTGGAGATTGAGGGGCGTCAGAATCCTGGAGGGTATTTTTTGTTGTTGGTGGTGGTGGAATGATCGGGCGGTGGAAAGGGGGAGTGAAATTGAAGCCGACATTGTTCAAAATTTTTTGGCTCTACATTTGGGAAGTGTAATCCAGACAGCCGCACGCGGGGGGAAATCTGTCAATAAAAGTCAGTGGGACTTGACAGTGAAAGACTGCAAAAGAAGAAGCTGTATGAAACTTTGGGATTCGGGATTAAAAAAATAGAAAAAGAGAAGACGAAGAAGGAGGAGGAGGAGGAAGTGAAAGTCAAATTGAAAAGCTCCGATGCCTTTTGAGTGATCCAACCCAAAAAGATCGAAATGAAAATTGAAAAAAGGGCAGATTCACAAGTTCCAACCCACAGGGCACAGCCACACACCGAATGTGATTGATTTCACTTCTTTTTGGGCTTTCCAGTTCCAGCGGAAAAATACTTGTACGGCACTTGGTAGTTTTGTAGTACAACGAAATATCCGATCTAACTCGAAATATATCTTGTGATAATTTGGTTATTGGATCGATATATTAAGGTACTAGTGATGTCAATGTGCGACCCTGGCCAATCTATCTGTAGATTTTAGAAATATTTATATTTGAAAAAAAATAAAATTCTGTATTTGAAGCGATATATTTTAGAAATATTTAAAGGATTTAGAAATGTTTTATAAGTGTGATCATAGAAATATTTGTATTTCACAAAAAAAGAAATTGTATTTCGCCATGTATGTTTTAGAAATGTTTTATAAGTATTACTTATTAAATATAAATAGACTTAATCGAATATATGTGTTGAAGTAAATGTTAGACAAAATATAAAAGCATCCTAATAAATTTAAATATTAGTAAGATGTTTTATTGATGTTCTACATTGGTCGTGCCAAATCAATACTTAGTTTTGGAGATTTTTAATAGCTTTGTAATAAGCTTCATCCGAAGGGTATACGCTTAAAATAAAATTGACACTTTGTAACAAAAACCTAATTGATCAATTCAATTTAGACTCCATAATTAAGAAAAGAAAACCACTCTAATTGAATGAAACATAAAGAAAAAATTTTAAAAAAAAAGTGTAACCTAAAGTGGAAAGGGGGATTTAGTAATTTAGTTATAGTTAGACAAAAGAACAATTTAGTACTTTTCTCATGTCACGTGGCAATCATAGGAGGTGTTTGAAAAGAACATCATTCCTTCCCACCCAATACAAAATCATACAAAATACTATACAAAAGTGGGATAAAAAAAAAAGAACTCACCACCATATAAATTAGTGCGATCATGGTGCGTAGGACTGTATTGCCGGAAATGTTTGACCTCTGTACAAAATACTATTACTTCTACTCTAAAAAAAAGAGCGGGCTCTATACAAAATATTATTACTTTCCTTTCGGTCAAACATCAGCCAATGAAAACATTTCTATTTGGACTGTATTCACTTACTGGACCCTAAGCCCAAAATATTACCCAAAATATTCCGGTACTGGAAGAGTTTTTTTATTTTTTGCCTAACATTGCTGTGTGACGGACCCCACATCACCATTACCGTAATTTCGCCTAATATTGTTGTGACCGTAAAGCGGCGGCAAAGAGCGGAGCTCCGACGAGTCAAATTTTCTCGAATTCGCAGCACTGCTCTCATCGCCGGTGCTACTGCCACGTGGGTGTTGTTACTGCATAACACTATTGTCAGTGGCTCCATGAGTATTCACCAAAGTGCCCAAGTACAGAAACTCCGAGCTCGTTTGCGACTGCCTCTGAAACTTTGGAACTAAGTCATCCATTCCCATACTTGGAAAAGTAACCAAACCGAAAGAAATGAGTTGAAAATGGGATTCAATTGAAGAAATCAAAGATAGCTTATGGATTAAGGTAGGATTCAATTGAATTCTGTTACAATAGATGCATGTAGAAGGTTTGTTTCCCATTCCATGTTAGAATAGATGGAAAGTGGCGATCTGGGCTCTGGCACGGGAGAAAATGGTTTGCGACGGAGGTGCCCGAGCAAGACGGGGTGGTGGTGGAAGCGGCGGTTTACCGGCGGTGGACGCCGGCATTTTGATTATGAGAACGTGCAAGATTTTGGAAGAAGAATCGAAAATGAAATGGGCTGAAGAGCAATCTCATCAGTTGTGAAATAAGAAGTAATATAATTTACTCTTCTGTACTGTAATGGAGGAGTAGGAATTTGAAAGAGGGAAGAAAATAGAAGAGCCCGTGGTGTGCATTCTGAATGGTATTATGGAAATCTATTAATTTATTAATACCAATTAATGGTAATTAATGAGATGAAAATGACACGTGATAATTGAAGGAGTGCTCTTTGAATTGTGGTTTTTGTTTCTTATGTAGTAAGATTTCATTCATTTATGTGGAACATAAGCCAAGTTACTAGAGTAGTTATTTTTAACAAGAGAACTAAAAAAAAATTATCCAAAAAGACACATAATTTTTTACTCCAAAACCACCCTCCGTTGTCTTGCACAATAATCTCTCAATTGTTTAGCTGTCTGTTTTGCGTTTATAAGTCTTATTACTCAAGAGCACATGACCCTATTGGGTTTTAACAAATTCTCAACTCACTTCGTTTGTGGTTTAAAAATCAGTCATTTGAATCCATTTCAATTTTTTTCTTCTACTGTAAACCAAACATTAATGTATAAGTCATTGATGGCGTTTTGAATGTGTGGCAGGAGATACTATGGGGGTCTAACAAATATTTGTTCTTTCTATATTGTTTAAAGTTTTTACGAATGATAATCACATTAGACAAAGAATACTATGTACATAGTCAGTTAGGCATTATACATTATGTTAAGAGTCATTTTCATTTCATATTTTTTAAAGGTCTTAGTTTTTACAAGAGAACTGGAGCCTTCCTCCATCATAGACATTAGACAATATTCACTTATTCATTCAAAATAACACTTGCACGACTTTCTACCCAACCAAGTCAATGTCTTGCTTTTTTATCTAATATTTTACATCATTATCAGTTAGGACAAAAAACTGTGTAATTTTAAAAATAATAAGTATCTTGACTTCAATAAAAATTAGGAAACTTGAGTATTTATTAACTCAAAATAAATACTCAAGTTCCCTTGCAGAGGATCATCCCTGGCCAGTTCTCTTATTCCATCATCTTCAATGGTCGAATCATCTCATTATCTTCATGATCCAGAATCTGCGTTACACAAATATTCAAAAACTTTTTTGAAGAACTTGAACCAAGAGAGAATATTATTTAGAAAAAGAGAGACACGAAAAACATGAAACTTACGTGACAATGATAAACGTATCCGGGCTCGGCAGTAACATCAAACGGGTAAAGGCCATCATTTGCCACCAAATTAAATCTCACCACCACCGTAGTTTGGTATCCTGGTTCTATCTTAACCACGTTTTTCCACGTCTTCTCATATTCCGGCACCGTCAGCAAATTCCCGGTGACATGCGAAGTCACGTTACATGCTACGGCGTTGTTTTGGCTCATCATGCATGACTTAAATCCCTCCAAATCCACCAATTCTTGTATCTTAAGTGCTTGGAATTTAGCCAAATGAATATGCAAAGGATGATTGGCTTTGGTTAAATTAATCACTTCCCACACTTCGGTACTCCCGGGTTTGGGCGTCTCTGTTACCGGATCCATAAAATCCTTTCCGTTAATGTAAAGGTGGGCCGGGTCACCCGTAGAACTTTGGTACTCGTACAAAACTATGTACCTATTTGTTACAGCTTCATCAACTGGTGCATAACTAATTATTCTTTCCGGGATTGTTGAAGTATCAGGCGGAACTGGATTTCCTGGCTCAATGACAAATTTCATAATCTTGCCGTTCAAACCATCAACAGGGTTTCCAATCGGGTACGGGGCCGGGGCATCATTTGTCAAAATGGATTCATCTCCATTAGCGATGGAAAAGTCAACCACCACGTCAGCAATCTCGGATGGTGATAAGATAACATTTGGTGAAGACACCGGGGCGGGTAAGTAAGATGCATCCGACCCAATAACCGTGAACGACAACCCGTTTGTTAATGAAAGCCGAAAATATCTTGCGTTGGATGCATTGATGATCCGAAACCGATATTTTCTTCTTTGTACCTCAAGGTACGGCCAGGCTTTGCCGTTGACGATAACGGCGTCGCCTAAATATTCGAGCTGCCATTGCGGATGAATTGTCGGATTGTTACCGGTGTAATTAATGTACAACGATCCATCCTTGTAGAAACTCCGGTCAAATATCACGAGGTGTTGGTCGAAATCTGGACCGGGCGGAAGATTTAATGCGGCTTCAGAAACCGGATCTTTAATCACGTAAGGTGCAAATAAACCGGCGAGGAGGTTTACTCGGGTCAACCCGAGGGCATGGTCATGGTACCAGAGGTTCCCTGGGCCTTGAATATTGGGGTACGTGTACGTGGGTTGGGACCATTTGGAACCGGTTTCGCGAAAAGAGCCCGTAAACCATGTCAGCGGGTGGCCGTCAGTTTCCGGCGGGTGGATTCCGCCGTGAAGGTGGACGACCGTCGGGACACCTCCTTTTCTGGGAATAGCGGTGGCGATGGTGGGATCCCATGGTAGTATGTGGTCCGCCGGGAGGAAGTTTTCCCAAGTGACGGCGGTCGGTACGCCGCGAATGGCCTCTATTATTGGCCCCGGAACCGTTGCAGATGCCGTTGAAGTACCGTACGCAAATACTGTAGTCGCCGGCAAATCACGATGAAATTTCTGCACGTAACCATGCACATGGTTCAATTGCCATCATAATAGAACGGATTTAAACAAAACACTAATAAAGAAATAATGTAAAACTATTGAATTGATTTGGTTTTTGTTTATTTCTAATTGTTTGCGTCGTTTAATAAGTGAAATTTATCCCAAAGTATTGTCCATTCAATAGATCAATTGTTATCTATTTAGAGGGTAGTTTTTTTTTTTTAGTATTGTTCCTTCAAAGGGTAGAGTTTTTTATTGCAGGGTTCGTGGTATCTTCAGTAGTGTTTCTGGTGTCTTCCGTACGGTTGCTGCGATGTTTGTGATTTCGTTCGTTACTTCACACTGTGCGGTTCAAAAAAATTAAGTCATCATTAGATTTATTTGATATATCTATGAGTTGGGGCCTTCATAAGATGATCAGAGATATATTCTTGATCATATTCATTATCTAGTACGTGATATATCCATCATTATATTAGGTAAATCTAGATAGTTTATCCACGAGAAACACAACAATAGAGATATCTTTGATTGTAAGTTGTATTCTTGTTTTGATTGTACCTTTCATTATCCATCGTTGTTGGACCATTTCCAGTAAAAAGTAATATAATCTAGTTTTTATTTCAAAAAAAGAATAATGTAAACCTTATACTCCCCGTACTACAATTATTGTCCAGTTTAGGTTTTCATTTTTAGTACAAATTGAACTAAAAATAAATTCAAACTAGACAATAATTTTGGAAGAGAAAGTATATTTTCAAGCATTACGTACTGGTACCTATTTAATTCGATCATATATGAGTAGACGAGTTTCTGTATGCATAATTTTCTAGTACTAATTATGTTCCGTATAAGTGATCAAATTAAGATATACTTTTAATAAAATTGGAGTTTTGCATCGATAATGAATTGTGTTTATGATGAAAAAATCAATTAATGGCACATACCCAAGTGGTTTGGTACATTCCAATGGTTAGACTTCCGGGTCCGGGAACACCAAAACCAGAAGTAACGTAACCAAGTAGCTTTGGAATCCGTGGCAATTCATCCACGTACATCTCCAAAGTAGCGGCTATGTCATGAAGCGTCGTTGCGTTCACCGGTGGAGGCTGCCCTGCGGCCGGATTAACGCCGCCGGTAACGGTCAGCAATATCAGAAGGGTTGCACAAACTGGTACAACGGAGCTTCCCATGGAAGTTAAACTAGAGTGGGAACAAATATGAGCCCTGCAGATGGAGATGGACTTTGAAAAAGACCTAGGAAGGTATGAACAATGTTGTATATGTCACCTAGAAAGCATCTTATATTTTTATAGTACTTCTCCAACAAATTAATTAGGTCAAAATATTGGCTAGCCAGGACAATATGTGCATAAATTAATGTGTGTGGATCCTGGTATTTTTACTTTGGTTACCAAAATTTTGGCTCTATCAATGGAATTCTCTCAACTTAGTGAGACAATTCCACCCAACTTTCTGTTGCATCTTATAACTATAAATCTAACAAATGGTTAAGTTGGCAGAGATCAAATGTAGGAGCTAACACCATTTGCTTTCAAGTTTGTAAGATCAATTGGGATTTTATCATGACACACAAATTAATGATATGACAAACATCGTTGTAAGGGAACTATCATGTCGCGAAAGTTTCCTCTTATAGGAGGAATCCTAATGTAATTGACATCTATGATGGTCTTGCAAAATTTTCCTCTTCATCTGAAAATTATAAATTTTACGTATTTTTTTATCTCTGCCTCACCTAGTTTGGTAGTGATCTTACGATTATGTTATGAAGTTGACAGACTTGTGCTGCATTTCTGGCATGCATGTTATATATACATAGTTTTTGGCAACTTATTTATTTCAAGAAAAAAATTTCCAACGTACCCTTTCAAAAGAAATAATCCCTTTGTCTGGAAGTAAAATTCGCTGTCGCTTATAGTTTTGGGGAAAAGAAAAGGTTGTATGATTAAATTATTAGTTTTTAAACTTCATTTAGCCGACCAAACACTCAAGATTTGCATATTAGATGTCACATGTATGGGCTCATTACAGCATTTTCACTTAAGAAGAAAATAAAGAGAGAAACATTTTTTTTTCTTTTTTCTGGTTTTAGATTTCCTCTAATCTTTTAAAGTGCTCAAACCTTCACAATTGAACATTTGTGCATTGAATTTGGCTCTATAATTTTTAAATTTGATTTTTTGGGTACAAGCCTCTATAATTTTAGTTTTGACTAACTTTATATGATTGTAAATTTCTTTGTATTTATTTCATTATGACAGTCCAAAAAATAACAAACTTCCAAGTCAAGTGACCACTTGAGTACGTAATTTTTTTTAAAAAAAATCTTTATTTAAACAATATTCTAATTATTCAGTTTAATTTTTCATTTATAGTTTAAATGTACTAATTGAAACTAAACAATCATTTTAAGGAAAAAAAATCAAATCACTACTCTATATGCTGCATTCACAAGACAACTCTACTAATTGGACTATTGGAGTACGGATTTCAGAAATCGGCCATGGATATACGTGCAACGTATACGTAGTTACGTACTACTCCGTTTGGTATGTTTAAACTGAGTTCAGTACTAAATCGTGTTTTCAAAGAAATATAAGATACTATAAGATAGTCGTACAATCTATCCTCTGACAGAGAGGATGGTATACCTCAAGAAATCTTCTTTTTTTTTTTCCCCGGAAAAAAGGTAAATTAGTGACATTTGGAAAACGCTTGCCGCCTTGCTCCATTTCTACGTAGTATTTCAATATTTATAAAAAAAATTTCCACGCCCTCATTTTCAACCAAAATGAAAAAAGATAATCAATGATTGGATTGATATCGAAGCTGATAAATGCCCCAATTAGGGTCCGGTGCCTCATTTGTGATTATAGGTTTTTTCTTTGATTTAGTTAATCATCGAATGATCAACTCGCTAATTACTCTAATAACTAAAATATATTGGGTTTTTTTTTTTGTTGTCTTGTTTTTTCTTTTATTTCATTTTACCTCTTAAACACAAAACTCAATGCATTATCCAAACATCAATCTAACTTTCCTTCAAAAAATTATTTTAAACATTATTTTTACATAATTTTTATCAACTACCACCGGACCACCTCCACTATCGTCGAGATGCCACCGCCGCCGCCAATCATCATTGGCCGGTCGGATTCCGGCGGAGAGGGAAGAATTAGTGTCGATGGTTATTAAACTATTTAGTGATAGAATGAGAATTAACAAATCGCGAGATCGAAAATAGGATTATTCAACCGTCATCGGAGGGTCGAACTGAAAAAATTTTAAATAACGGACACCCTACTAAGAAAAAATTTGGCCAAATTCAGCCAGCTGGGGGATCGATCGACCACCCTAACCCCCCTTGAATCCGTCACTGAAACTATTGTAAAGTCTTCAATTTAGTTACTGAATTATTTTAATTTTATAAATAGTCATTGTACTATAATACTATCCAAATCAAAAACTAAACTATATTTTGAATCTTCTCCCAAATCCAAATAAAAAACTAAAACAAAACATTGTCCAAACACCACTATTATTTCCTCAGCTTTAAAACATAACTTTTATTTCAGGGTGGACAGAATAATAGAGGCGTTAAGTTCAAAGTTTACTCGAGAACAAGTTGCATACTGGGATTATAATATTGCCATTAAGAAATTAAGTCGAAAGAGTCGCATGGAAGAAATTAAAAATCCAAAAAGATTATTTGTCCTATAGTATAGACTTCTCGCCAAGTCAAATTCCCTTTCTAATCATCGTACTGCTTGAGTTTCTAGTTCTTGGCATGCCTTCAAGATACCGATTCTTTCCCGATTTCACACGGGCATTTCATCGTTTTGTAAACTCTCGTGTTTGTATACATTACAATATATACATATATATATATGTATATATCCTACTATATTAGAAATAAAAACCTCCCTTTCAAACACCTCATATGATTGCCACGTAGCATGTAGAAAATACTAAATTGCCCTTTTTTTCTAACCATAACTAAATTACTAAATCTCTCTTTGCACTTTACGTGACACGTTTTTTTTTTTAATTTTTTCTTTATGTTTCATTCAACTAGAGTGGTTTTTTAAATTGAATTGATCAATTAGGTTTTTTGTTACAAAGTGTCAATTTTGTTTTAAGCGTATACCCTTTGGATGAAGCTTATTACAAAGCTATTAAAAATCTCCAAAACTAAGTATTGATTTGGCACGACCAATGGAGAACATCAATAAATCATCTTACTAATATTTAAATTTATTAGGATGCTTTTATATTTTATCTAACATTTACTTCAACACATATATTCGATTAAGCTATTTATATTTAATAAGTAACATTTATAAAACATTTCTAAAACATACATGGCGAAATACAATTTATTTTTTTTTTTTGCGAAATACAAATATTTCAATGATCACACTTATAAAACATTTCTAAATCCTTCAAATATTTCTAAAATATATCGCTCCAAATACAAAATTTTATTTTTTTCAAATATAAACATTTCTAAGATCTACAGATAGATTGGGCCAGGGTCGCGCATTGCGCGACCAGACATCACTAGTATATATAGGAAGCGGCTAGAATCCAGTCGACTGAATGATTCAGTCGATTTTAATAACCATAGGATGATCATCGCTAAAGCACAACCGTTAGATTAGAAAGTTAGGTGTATTAAAAGAAAATACACCCATTTACACTGGATTAGTTTAAAGTTACCTGATCCAAGATATCAACCAACAACACGGGTAATAGTCCTGTGACACTTTCATAATTGATGCCTTCATCAACATCTATCCTCTAAAAATTTTCTAGTCATTTTTTCTCTATGACAAAATTAAAATCCTAATGCATTCCATGAAGTTTGTCGAAAGTCAATCAATCTACCAATATTAACAAGATCTTGGCCGTCCACGACTCTCGTACTTGGTCGCAATTCTTGGCCCTTCGGCGAGCTTCGAAGTCGGAGGGAAGGGACAATCGCCATCTCTAAATAATGAGTTGTTACTTTTAGGTTCAAATTTGTTGTTGGTGTATCTGTATCTGTAATTCAGATATCCCAAGACAACTGCACTATAGGGGGCTTTCACGAGCCTGGTGTGATACTTGCATTCGTAAACCCAAATCAGTGGAGGCAACCCGGAGCTCTGTCTATACTTCATTATCTTATCTCCATTATATGGATTCCCTGATGGGTGGTGGGGTTATTTATTAATTAACAATTGATGATACGCAGTTGAATTTAAAAGATCGGTAGGCTTTGTTTGAGTCTATGTTATCCAAAAAAAACACACACACACACACAGATCAAGTTAAACTAATAGTGTCTCTGGGCTTAAATAGTTTGGTTGTGATGTTTACTTCTACCTTGGGAAATATTGTTCCCCGTAGCTCTTGCCGTAGTTGCACTTGCACTTTTTTCCGATGGTTCCACCACCATTAGAGATTTGGCTAGCTGGAGAGTCAAGGAAAATGAGCGGATGGTTGCGATTTGCACAGAACTTAGAAAGCTAGGTGCAACGGTTGAGGAAGGGCCCGACTACTACATCATCACTCCCCAAAAAAATTAAATTTGACATATATTGATACATATTATGATCACTGAATGGCCATGGCTTTCTCTCTTGCGGCATGTATAGAAGCACCTGTTACTGTGGATTAATAATGGTGATTTAGCGGTTTCACGATCAGGTAATAGTGTTTAATCTTGGTGGGGTGAAAAAAATAATATTGATTAGTAAGTAATGGATATGTTAAGATGCTTCACACCCCATGATTAAATTATACACACTAAATTTTAATTGATTTTATTTAAACTGGATGGTTCAGTAAAAAATCTATAACTGGATCATAGAATTTCCCATATATATTATGACTTCAAAATTTGTTTAACAAATTCAAAGAGATGCGTTAATTCACTTATTTATAGAAAACAAACGTAATAATCCAATAACACAATGGTTTTTATAATTTAGTCTCAATTATTTACTCCTCATAATTCACTTATTGCCATTGTGTTGGCCGTTGGGGCATAAATTTTCCATTTCCCTTTGCATATTATTTCAAGGTCTTAGTTTTAGAGAAGAGAAACGGAGCGATCATTATCGCAATATCACTTGATTCATTCAATATATAACATTGGGACGACTTTATACCCAGTCGGCATCTTGATTTTTACAGTATGATATTTTACATAATTACCAATTAGAACAATAAACTGTATTTTTAAGAGGATACTAGTACTACTAATTTTGTTTTTCACTTCAATTGAAAATCAGGGAAATTAAAGTATCCATTAGCTCAAAGGTGATCATCTGGTCGTTTTTCTTACTTCATCAACTTAAGTGGTCGAATCATCTCATTATCTTCATGATCCAGAATCTGCAATCACAATTATTCAAAAATAAATAAATAATTGAATAATTTAAACCCATATATTATAGAGAAAAAAGAAGAATATAGTCGCTTACATGACAATGGTAAACGTATCCGGGCTCGGCCGTAGCATCAAATGGATAAGGACCATCATTTGTGACCAAATTAAATCTCACTACCACCGTAGTTTGATACCCTGGTTCTATCTTAATCACATTTTTCCACGTCTTTTCATATTTCGGCACCGTCAACAAACTCCCGGTGGCATGCACCGTCACGTTACACGCCATCGCGTCATTTTTTATTATCATGCACGACTTAAAACCTTCCAAATCCACCAATTGTTGTACCTTAATCGCTTGAAACTCCGCCAAATGAATGTGCAAAGGATGATTGTCTTGTGTCAAATTAATCACTTCCCACACTTCAGTACTCCCGGGTATGGGCGTCTCTGTAACGGGGTCCAGAAAACTCTTCCCGTTAATATAAAGGTGGGTCGGGTCACCCGTCGAACTTTGGTACTCGTACAAAACTATATACCTATTTATTACTTCTTTATCAGCTGGTGCATAACTTATAATACTTGTCGGGATCGTTGCATTATCAGGAGGAATTGGATTTCCTGGCTTGATTACGAATTTCATAACCTTCCCGTTTAAATCATCGACAGGGTCTCCAGTCGGGTACGGGTACGGAGCATCATTTGTTAAAACCGATTCACCTCCGGTAGCGAGCGAAAAATCAACCACCACGTCAGCGATCTCCGATGGTGATAAGAAAACATTCGGTGAAGTTACCGGGGAGGGCAAGTAAGACGCATCCGACCCGACAACGGTGAATGACAACCCGTTTGTTAATGAAAGCCGAAAATATCTTGCGTTGGATGCATTGATGATCCGAAACCGATATTTCCTTCTCTGTACCTCCAGGTAAGGCCAGGCTTTCCCGTTGACAATAATCGCGTCGCCGAAATATTCCGGCTGCCATTGCGGATGAATAGTAGGATTGTCGCCGGTATAATTAATGTACAACGATCCATCCTTGTAGAAACTCCGGTCAAATATCATGAGGTGTTGGTCGAATTCTGAACCGGCCGGAAGATTTAATTTAGCTTCGAAAGCCGGATCTTTAACCACATAAGGTGCAACCAGACCGGCTAAGAGGTTTATCCGGGTTAACCCGAGAGCATGGTCATGATACCAGAGGTTCCCGGGGCCTTGAACATTGGGGTACATATAAGTTGGTTGGGACCATTTCGGACCGGTTTCGCGATAAGAGGCAGTAAACCATGAGAGCGGGTTGCCATCACTTTCCGGCGGGTGGATTCCTCCATGAAGGTGGACGACCGCCGGGACACCTCCTTGTTTGGGAATAGCGGTGGTGATGGTGGGATCCCATGGTAGTATGTGTTTCGCCGGCAGGTAGTTTTGCCAGGTGACGTAAGTTGGTACGCCGCGCATGGCTTCTATTTGTGGCCCCGGAACTGTTGCAGCTGCCGCCGAAGTACCGTAGGCAAATACTGTAGTCGCCGGCAAATCTCGATGAAATTTCTGATGCAAACCATGCACTTGGTTCAATTTTGTCATAATAATGATAATAAAATTCTGTAATATGTTATGGTATGTTTGTTTAATCCCACCAAAATAGTCCACGTTAAATTTTGAGTTTTGTACTGTTTTTAGTATAAATTTAAAAATTTAATGTGGATTATTTTTGTTGGACGGAGATAATATTAATTTTACAACATTGTACTTGGTTTTCGTATACTTTTTTCGATTGCTTTTCAGTAGTTATTATTTATTTGAATCATATTATTTGGATGGATAAATTTCATGTAAAATATCATTCATAAGAATAAGAAAAAAAAAAGAGTTAGACAAAAAAGTGTACAAGGATGCAAACAAAATAAAAGGCGTGTGGGATCCAAGATCCATTATTAGATGGGAAAGCATTCGGTAAAGTTATCAAGTATACAAATTTGTGTAGATAAAAAGATGAAAATGGTCCTCCAATTTCATTGTCGCCTTATTGCGCTAATTGACGTTCATAGTAGGTTTAACCAATAAGATTTTTTTTTTTCTTCTTCTGAACTTCACCTAATTCCCATTACTAAATCACAAAGAAACTCTACCGGTCGACATGAATATTCTGTTTCGATTGTTATTTTTAGCTCACAAAAGTTCAAATAGAATAATTATTTTGAAACATAATAAGTATATGTAGATAATTCGACCATGAGTTCACAAGTCTATATTTCCCGTATATAAATAATTTTATATCAAAAATAGTACAAATTTGAAAGAATCAAATTAAGATGTATTACTCACTTTGGTCCTTATTATAAGGTATTTTGACTTTTCTTAAGTTTCACCTAATACGTATTTTTTGTCAATAAAAAATACGTACTAAGTGAAATCTTAGACAAATCAAAATATTTTATAATAAAGACCAAAGAGAGTACAATGTTTCAAAAAAGTAGTTTACATTTTTAAAATGTAGACCATTTTTTTAAGACATAAAGGGTATCTTTAATGAAATTGTAGTTTTTACAATATAGATAAAGAATCAGTAAACAATGGAAAAAAGATATCATTAATGCATTATTGATAGATATACATAGTGAGATGGACGATTTGATGTATCTGTGAAACCAAAACCTATTTTTCCTTTGATATTTTAATTAAAATTAACATAACATCACGTAACAATGTAGTGATTGATTATGTGAAACGAAACCAAACAAAAGGGAGCGAGAAATAAATGTGAGATGCATGTTTTGTTCAGGAGAAAGAGAAACGGTAAATACTACATACCCAAGTTGTTTGGTACATTCCAATTGTTAGCCTTCCGGGTTTGGAAGCACCATAACCCGAAGAAACGTAACCAAGCAGCTTTGGAATCCGTGGCAATTCATCCACGTACATCTCCAAAGCAGCAGCTACGTCATGAAGCGTCGTTGCGTTCACCGGTGGAGGCTGGCTAGCTGCCGGAGTAACGCTGCCGGTAAAGCTCAGCAATATCAGAAGGGTTGCACAAATTGATATCATGGAACTTCCCATGGAGCTGAAGATCGTAGTGATAAGTAAAACTACCTAGTTTTTGAGTAGGGAACAAATATGAGTCTTGAGGAAGATGGAAATGGATTTTTTTTTTTTAAAGAAGACAGTTGGGTACAATGTTGTATCACCAAGAAATCATCTCATATATATATACACACTTCTCCAACAATTTAGGTCAAAGTTTTGCTTAGAACTTTATTTGAGTGTGAATTCGGACCTAGAATAATTATTATATTTTAAATAATTGCTATACTCTGTTGTCTTAAAATAATACTATAATAAAAACGACAATCAATTTTGGACGAAATGATATTATACTCCCTCCGTCCCATAATTATTGTCCAGTTTTACTAAAATGAAAGAGTTTATTTTTGGTCAAACTTAATTATATTTTACCTTAAACAACCGGATATACCCCTACATAAGTAATTATTTAACCACTAAGATTTTATGGGTAATGTTTTTTACTAAGGACAAATGTGTAACTTGATCCATAAAAAGTCAAATTGGACAATAATTTTGGGACAAAATTTTTTGGGCAAAGTAGACAATAATTATGGGACGGAGGGAGTATATGACAAGATTTATGTACATTGAGTGTGGATCCCTTCCTGTATTATTTCACATTGGTGGACTAAGATTATTGGCTGAGTCATGACAATATATACATGGTCAATGAACAATGCAAATAAGGCGTGTGGAGGACACGGGTTCAGTTTGATTTTCAATTGTCCGAACTCCGAAAGCCTCACCAAATACGTATAGTTTTTGGCGAATTTAAACATACGTTTTCTAAAGAAATATCTCTTAGTTTTGAAGTTAAATTCCCTATTGTTAACATTAGTTCTGAAAAAATATAATTAAATTATTTCTTAAACTTCATCTAATCGACCAAATCAAGTTATTGATCGCTCAAGATTGCATACGTAGATTTCACATGTATGATCTCATTGAGAGCATTTCACTCTGAGGAACTGAAGAGAAAAAACATTATATTTTTGGACCATATGATCTGAGTTTTGTGAATTTTATATTTCCTCGAATCTTTTGAATGCTCAAATCTCACATTTGCACATTTGTGCATTGAACATGGCTCTTATAATTTTAATCCTTTTTTTCCCCCTAAATAACAACCCTCTATAATTTATTTTGACTAACTTTACATGACTGTACTCCAATTTGTTGGACTTTTTCATTATGAGATTCCAAAATATGCCAAACTTCTAGCTAAAGTCCAGTGACCACTTGAGTACGGTTTTTTTTTATAATTATTTTTTTCTTTTAGTTTTGTTTAATTAGTAAATTTTTAGAACCACACTCGAAATGCCGTGTTTATTATAAGAACATAACTACGAGGATACAACTAAAACAAGCTCTACTACTGTAATTGGAATATTTGTACAAGGTGTAGTGTATTACTCCCTTTGGTTCTGTTTAAATTGAGCTTATTATTAAATAGTGGTTTACACTACATCTGTCTCAAAAAAATAGTCTACTTTTAAAAATATAAATATTAAAAATTAGATTTATGAGATTAGTATAATCTTAAATTGATAAATAATCATAAAATTTTATTCGATTTTTATATTAATTTTTTAATTTATAAAATTAAGTGATCTAATATTTATATTTTAATTTTTTTAAACTAGATTATTGTTCTAAAACAGATGTAATATAAATATAAAATTGGAGATAGTACTCAATTTATCCTCTCTTTATTTCCTTGGATTAGCGAGGGGCAAAAGGATCCAACTAATTTGACGCCTTCTGCATGAGATGGGATATCTCAATTATTATTTTTCTAGAAGGAAAAAAGAAAGAAAGAAAAAGGTAAATGACAGTTTTTTGGAAATTAGGTAAATGACAGTTGCAAAAAAGCTTGCCGCCTTGCTCCATTTCTACATATTTAAATTATTTATAAAACCTTTACCACCCCATCATTTTCATCCAGCTCCACCTCGAGGAAATGGTTTTGCCATGAGTGTCGAGTTAAACTTTTTGGCTAATTATTTCTCGTTAATAATTCAAATACTCTACATATCAGTCAAAGTATATAAGTATTTTGGATTCTCATCTCAAAACTAATTAACAATAAGTAGGGTAACATTTGACACTTATATACAAAGTTACTTCTTTTCACTATGACGATGTGAGACAGATAATGTACCTTAACAATATCTCAAAAATTTCATATTGTTTTTTCAAATTTATACTATAGTCATTACAAATTTCAAAACTTAATGTGAACTATTTCTTTAGAACATAGAAAATACTTAATTAAACAGTTATATTGGTTTGAGAATCTAACATCATGAGTAAAATCTTGAGTCAAACATAATATTATAAGAATTGTTCCAAAATATAATAATTTAAATTACTCTCTTTAACCCAAAAAAGAATAATTTATATCAAGTTTTGAAATTTGTACCGGAGATAGTATAAAACTTTAACCTCTCTTCTATAGTATCCAAAAAAAAACCCCATCAAATATCAAGTGATATGGAACCAAAGGGTCGCTGCCCAGAGTTCCAGATGATCTTAATTAAAACACACAGGCAAAACAGAAACAATTTTTCGTTCTTGATTTTGGATTGGGTAATTCATTTATACATTAGTAACTATAGGTTTTCCTTTGATTTCGTAAATCATTGAATGATCTACTACTCCAATAACAAAAATATATCACTCTATATATGTCCCAAAGTCCGCCATAGCGCTTTTCGCTTTCTGCTCTTCGGAGGAATCAAATAGAAGAAACAAGAATCTCATTTTATGTAGTCGTGAGCCAATCACTTATTGGTTGTTTTGATATTGATCATTCAGCAAGGCCCAGCCTGACTTTTTAGACCTATTGCCAATACTAAGTAGCAATTCAAAATTGGTATCCATTTTTACGATATTATGCATGGATCGGGTATGTTGTGGCAAATTATTTAGAGAAATTTGTGTCTTCCACAATGGTTTAAAAACGCTGGTGAAATTCTTTTTCGTCTGTATCCCACACATTTGGTTAAACCTGCCTTGAAACACGCTAAAACAGCTTCTGAGCGATGCGCCCTTCATATTCTACGTAACGAAAATCCAACCAAACGAATAAAGAAATAAGAATCGGGGAAAAGCCTTATATCTAAAAATTAATTCATCAAGTTGATGATAAAATCCATGGGTCGGAACTTACCCGACAAGGAATTTCACCGTATCTTCAAAATCCTATTTCTTTTATCTATTTTACTTGGCAAATCGTGTGGTCTAATAATCAAACATTCGGATTAGTTGCTAATTTATTTTAGTATTGGTTGGGGCCAACTATGTGTAATGGTTCCGTCTCCAAGAGAAGTTATCCTCTCTCATTATTACAGAACGAAATCTGGAGAAAATAATGGAACTCTTTGGATTGAATCCGAGTAAGGCTCGATCTCAGCCCTTTCTTCTAATCCGATCCCATGCTTCAGCTTAGCTTCAATCTATTCATTCATTTTGATAGGTCAACTCTCTTATACAAAAAGTAGGGAACAGAGCAAATGCATGCCATGATGTTGTTAGGATCTCATATAGTTCTTTGTGCCCTTGTCTTGTAAATGGACCTTTTTGAGCTTCTAAAATATCTTTCAAGCTATGATTTAATGCGTTCTCCAACTGTAGAAGTCATTTTTGGAGGAGAAACGATGCATTTTTGGGATCTGCGTGCTGTTTGATTAGAACCTTTAAGAGGTCCAAATGGGTTGGACTTCAGTAGGTTAAAAAAGGACATACAACCTTGGCAAGAACGACATTTCGCGGAAGAAAAGTGTCTAAAACTACCTATAGGTAGTAAGAGTTGGATCATTGATGTCAGATGGATCCATAAGAAAGGGGGTTCTAGTTATAATTCAGAAACGATTCATGTATATATTTCACAAATAATGAGCAATATCAGTCAGCCACAAACTTTGCGTTTGTAGATGAAAGCCCCCTAGAAGAGTTAAAATGGCAGTTCCTGCTCCTTGGGACTACTTATTTGAATCTTATAGAAAGAGTCGAAGGAACGAACGAAGTGAAGCTATTAACTTCTAGTTTCCCTATTGTTTCTATTTTACTGCAGTTGCTTATGGCCCCCTCCACAAGGAGAGATTGTTATTCTTAAAGGAGGGCCTCATTTTGGTCTTCAAGAGCTCGAATGCGGTCCTGTATTCTTTGCATCACTCTTCCTAGGACCTCAGGATCGAGAGCTGGCGGATGCTCTTATAACAGACCAAGCGAAAGCTCCAACCGTGCAGTGCGGTTGGAAATAATAACGAAAAGTATTATTATTGCTTGAATAATGAAATAAGAGAATTTCATTGCTATTAATATATTGCTTGAATGGTTTGTAGGGGGACTCTGCCCTCTCTAATCTATTCCACACGTGCAATTTCTTTTCTGTCAATACGACCGGTTACGAAGGAGATATATTAGTTAATTTTATATATGAAAAATCGAGATCTGGTGATATAACACCAGGTCTTCCAAAAGTAGAACAAGTATTCGAAGTTCGTTCGATTGAGTCAATATCTACGAAACATCTAAGTCATATAAGTAAACTGATCTATTTATTCATAAGAAAAAGAAAAAATGGAAATCTGCTAAATGGCTCATGTTATGATCTTCTATATCCTAGAACTTCTTGTCCCGTCATCTGGCTTATGTTCTTCATGTAGCATTCAGACCGAATCCATTCTTTGAACCACCATCTACACCCTTTCAATGTTTTTCAATCGGTCTTGTCGCTCGTTCATGTCATTTTGTTGGTCTTTAGTGTTAGAATATTACCTAATTGTTCAGAATCATTACTCTTTCGGCACAAGAAAAAGTTTTAAAAATTCCCTTTGCCTTTCTGGCTATTCCTATTCCTCAATGTCCCGGCTATTCAATCTCGATTTGAGATTGAAGATAACTTACACTTGCCAATAAGTCTTATGCTGACTCTCGAAGATAGACAGCTATCATGGGGGCACAAAAGATAATAGCATCCCTTGGAGTGTAGGGCCCGACCTTGCATAGAGGTATATTTTGGTACCCCAAGGGTGTCCCAAAGTTCCTTGCACCGAAAGACACACAAGGGGGATACCCTGAAATATCCCAGACCTGTGACCCCCTTTATGAGGAGGCATCTCGCTAGAAGGAAGAGTCTTGACATAAGGAATTGAATTTCCTTAACTATTTTATTAAAAATATAACGAAATGATCTTGTTTTGTTTCTCGGTTGAAAAGAATTGTCTTGAACAATCGGAGAAACCATTTCTATTCTCAGAGCTGAGGTATATGAAGAATGGCTTTTTGTCCCTTTCGTCCAGTGGTTAGGACTTCGTCTTTTCATGTTGAAGACAAAGGTTCGATTCCCGTAAGGGATAGGTACTCATTCGCGGCTCCTCGTTCAATTCTTTCGAATTCATTAGATCCTTTTCCGCATTCGATATTTTTTCTTGTAATTATTCTATAAATAGATCATTCTTCTCACATGAATATCTCCGGTAGTCAGTCTATTTTCATCAGCCGGCCATGGTTTCGCTACGTCACAAGGAGCAATTGTGAGGAATAGCCATTCTAGAACAATCATTTGGAAAGATGTCGAAGGAAATGAATCTATAGGAAAGGAAGGAACGACGGGGGGCGAAGTGAAACTATTATGAATAGAGATAGAAGTTAAGGCCCTGAGAAACCCTTCCTTGTCAATGGGAAAGAAGTACTTTCGTAGACGGAAAAGCTCGGAGATTATTAGCCTGCGAATATTTTCTTGCTTATGATGTACCAGCTCTAGCTCACTTGATAGCGTGCTTTCTTGGTTGTGTTGTGCCCGCTTGTGCTTAATTATCTTCTTTTTTTCTTTCTTTCCTGCAGTCGCGATCTAAAAGCCACGACTAAAAGGATTCTGGGTTGGGAAGATTGTCATGATTTTAGTTACAGTAAGGTTGATCAAAACAAAACAAAGGCGAAGGTTTTGGCAACAAGTTCGGATGAATGGAGGACCGACCGACCTGGGTTTCCACGAGCGTTGGCGGTTCTGGAGCCTGCCAAGAGCACTAGTTTTTTGAATTTACGAAAAAGAATCAGACCTTATATTTGAATATTTTAATTCTGAACTCATTATACAAGTTCTCTCTTTAGAACTACAAAATTTCTATGAATATGAAGAGATACGTTTAAATGAGATTTTCACCTTATACGGCTCATAAGAGGTCACAAAGAAATTTAAAGTAAGGGAACCAGATCATGAATTAGTAACTGCATCCAATTTCTAAAAATAAACCAATTGTATCGAATATTTATAATTTTGTCCCAAAGAAGTCTCTTGGAACCACTTTTTATTTTGACCAGGTTGAAACTTTGGTGAAACTAGGTGGAGATCCGAACCGACTGATGTTAAAGAATCAGCAGATGAGTGGTGGTCAGGGGTGAAATGCCACTCGAACCCAGAGCTAGCTGGTTCTCCCCAATTTCCTGTTGATGCAGAGATCAGACAATAATGCCCTCTTTTCTCTAATCCTTCTATCCCTCTTTTGACTCCTTGTTCCGGGGAAAGATAGTCTCAAAATAAACTGGTCTTTTCAGAGTGTTTTATTGTTAAGTATAGTTATACTTTTTTCAATAAATATATCTATTCAGCATTCGAAAGAACAACTTCTCACTCGGATCACTAAACAGAATAAGACCGAAAGGTACAAGCTGGCTTAAGCCATTCCCTTACCACCAAGCCCGAGCAAGCAACATATGACAGGGAAATGGCTTACGACGAATGCCCTGTTGAGAAAGAGAAGGGGGGTTGCACGATACTTTTTATCTTGAGTTTAATTCATCAGTATAAGAGCATTAGACCCTCCTCATAGTGTACCCCTTAGTTGAACCCTAGGATGGGACCGTACGAACTAGAAGGAATGCTGATTCTATAGGTGAGGAGCTTCCTATACTTCTACATGAGGATGCTACACAAGCTTTAGAGCGGTAGATGGAATGGAAACTCCAAACTAAAAGTCTACTTAAAAATTTATAAAAATTTGTTTCTAAACATTACTTTTATTTTAAAACAAATAAAATAATATATCAAATCATCACAAATTAAAACCTAATAACGCGTGTTAATTTCAAAGTTATACTTCAGAGAAAGTAGCATGTGGGATTATAAAATTGCCATCAAGAAATCAAGCCGAAGGAAAGTCGCATGGAAGAAATTAAAAGTCCAAAAGATTATTTATGCTATAGACTTCTCATCAAGTCAAGTTCCCTTTCTAATCATCTTACTACTTGAGCTTCTTGTTCTTGGCCTTGCCTTCAAAGATACCGATTCTTTCCCGATTTCACACTGGCATTTCATTGTTTTGTAAACTCTTATCTTTTAATTTTCTTTTTTTTTTAATATAAAAAAAGCACAATATTTATTTCTACTATAATTTTAAAATTTGTTTAACAGATTATACAAAAGAGTTAAAATGCATCCAAAAAATAATGTACTAGAAATGGAAGATATCCTTTTATTCCAAAATAATTAAACACTTTAGAGAGAGAGAGAGAGAGTCACACACAAGCATAATTAATGACTTCATATCACAAAATAATTATACCTGACAATTCGCAGGGTAATGTTCGTTGTCGAGAAGAAGCATAGCTCTTCGCTTTTAAACTGGAGCATGGTCCAATTTAAATTTATGTGTATGAAGAATTTAGGAAGAAATTATTAAAGTTAAATGTACCACCAAATTAAATATCCAATTTCAATGTAAGTATAAAATGGCAAATGTATTCAGAAATGTCAAAATTTTAAATTTCAACTCTCCATCCATCAATTTTCTTGATTATGATATGAATTACTTGTTCATGAAGATATTGTACGTGCAGGCAATATTGTCAATTATTCAATCACATAGTTACCACAAATGTTATCAATTCCATCCTTATATTGTAAAGGAGAATGAATGATTCAACGCCAGGGAATCATACTGGTTCCCACCTGTGGCGTCTGCAAATGTCTTTCCTTTTTTCTTTTTATTTTTTTATTTTTTATCAACTCCGGAACCCGTGATAACTATAATTTTCATATAGGCTCACACCATTTTTGCTTCCCGTGTCACAATAATTTCAAATAAGATAACACTATTTGTGCATGGAAATAACATGAAATAAATCATAACAGTCTATATTTATAAATTACAAATTAAAGATTTAAAGAATAAAAATTCAACTACATCATTACCTGTAAATTTTCATGTCAAATCCCAATATACATCACTCTTCCAAATCTCGTAATGCGTCAGAAAACAGAAGAGAAGAGACTGGACGTACAAGAGGAAAATAGTTGGAATATGGACCAACTTATCACTTGAGCCCATGTCCTCTTCTTAAGTTACATAAGCCCAAAAATCTTCGGTGGTTTCAAACGTATATTTTTAGCAATAACCCACCCCATTCTCTGGAAACTTCTACACCATTCTGGGCTTTGGGTAGCTTGCGGGTCCTTCTAGACCTATCTTCATCTTTCTCCTTCCTACCCTTTTTATTGTTTTTATTAAGCAATCATACCCCCGTTCTTGTAAGAAGCATTGGATTGAGATACCAAAATTGTTGCTGTTCGAATCAATCAGCGTTTTTTTTTTCCCCTTCAATAGCCGAAGCTTTTGATAGTCGCAGAAGGAGATGGGTGTGGATTATTACAGCATATTAAAGGTTGACAAGAACGCGAACGACGATGAGTTGAAGAAAGCTTACCGGAAATTGGCCATGAAGTGGCACCCTGACAAAAATCCCACCAACAAGAAAGAAGCTGAGGCCAAATTTAAACAGATTTCAGAAGCTTATGAGGTGAGTTATTGTTGCTGTTTTCCTCTTCTATGTTTTCTGTTCTTCTGCTAGCTAGTTTTATGTTTCAGTTGGCTTAATTTGGTTTGCTTCATCAGGGCTTCTTGCACTTTTGAGTTTATTTCTCTTTCTCACTTTCCCCTGTTTTGGTTTTGGGCCTTTTTTGATTGTGCCATTGCGGGTCATGATTATTAACATTCATCATTCTGATTAGATACCTGGGGTGATGTGATTAGTCCTAATTGTGATAGTATCTAAGCTTCATTGTTGGAATTTCATACTGATACTCTTTCATCATTCTGATTAGATACCTGGGGTGATGTGATTAGTCCTAATTGTGATAGTATCTAAGCTTCATTGTTGGAATTTCATACTGATACTCTGTTTTGATTAGTCCTAATTGTGATAGTATCTAAGCTTCAATGTTGGAATTTCATGCTGATACTCTGTTTTGATGCTTAATCTGTAGGTTTTGAGTGATCCTGAGAAAAGGGCTATCTATGATCAGTACGGTGAAGAAGGCTTGAAAGGGCAAGTGCCGCCTCCGGGTGCCGGAGGTCCTACTGGGGCAACATTTTTCCAAACCGGAGATGGACCTAATGTATTTAGATTCAACCCCCGGAACGCAAACGATATCTTTGCTGAATTTTTCGGGTTTTCTGGTGGTAGCCCGTTTGGCGGAATGGGAGGTGCCGGCGGTGGGATGAACAGCGGTGGCACCAGGTTCTCCAGCTCTATGTTTGGTGATGACATCTTCAGTTCCTTCGGAGAAGCATCCGGGAGGCAAACAAGTTCAGCGCCTAGGAAAGAACCCCCCATTGAACAAACATTAGCTTGCAGTTTGGAAGAACTTTACAAGGGAACATCTAAGAAGATGAAAATCTCCAGGGAAATAGCTGATGCCAGTGGAAAAACTTTACCTGTACAGGAATTCCTGACCATTGACATCAAACCCGGGTGGAAGAAAGGTACCAAAATTACATTCCCAGAAAAAGGCAATGAAAAACCAAATGTTATTCCGGCGGATCTGGTATTCGTTATAGACGAAAAGCCTCACAGCGTGTTCAAGCGGGATGGGAATGATCTTGTTTATACGCATAAAGTATCGCTTGCGGAAGCATTAACGGGGTGCACAGTCCAAATTACAACCTTAGATGGGAGGAGATTGACAATACCGATTAACAGTGTCATTCATCCAGAATACGAAGAAGTTGTACCAAGAGAGGGGATGCCTTTGCCCAAAGACCCTTCAAAGGAAGGCAATCTCAGGATTAAGTTCAACATCAAATTCCCAACTAGGTTGACAGCAGAACAGAAGGCAGGAATCAAGAAGCTGCTTGCTGCTTGAAGATGCACTTTCAATGAATCTGTGCATAGCTTTTTTGATACCTTTGGAAAGTTTTGGTTTTACATGTAAATGACAAAATATTACGAACAACATATAGAAAGTGTAGTGTCTGTTTTGAGGACTTGGATATTAGATGAAACGTTCCTGAGGCTAGCAGACCCAGGGAAAAATGGAACTGACAGTCAATGATTGTATCTGTCCATGATGGGCTACGTTGTTGATGTTGGCGACGGTTAGCAGTTTCCATTTGATTGATCTTGGATTTCGAAATAAGAACAAACGTGAATGCAGAATTTCAGAGTTTCTTCCATTTTAGGTGTTCTGGTCTCCGACGTCATCAACAATTGAGTTTCTTCTATTACTAATTTTAAGCGTACATATGAGTATGTTAACGTTGATCATGTAGTGATCGTAAATAGTCAACACTCAACACCTGAACTCTTGCTAGTTGAAAAAATGACCAGAAAAAAGATTAAACAGAAAAAGTTGTCGCAACACCAAAAATCCAAGAAACCTACTGCCACTACAAAATTCTGCTTTTTCTTTGATGTATTGCCTTTGCAGCCAAATTGGCGAAGAGCTCCGTTTCACTATTCCTTAACGCATATACACAATAGCAGTAAACAGAGTAAATACAAAAAGAAAAGCCACCTAGGTCTGGCTCACCAAAGAATACAAAGAATTATGAGGAAAAAAAAAATATAATGACCAAAGAGGATCCTACCCCATCCTAATTCACTCAAAGCGGGTGGATCCCTCCACATTCTGGTTGCCAAAATTTGCTAACTTCAGTCACTGTAATCTCCAGATACTACAGAATCAGATTCTTCGTCACCATTTCTATCCATATCTCTATCAGAATCATAATCATCATTTACCCCTAACTCTTCTCCATCTTCCATATTTTCACCATCGTCTTCGCCAGCATTATTGTCCTCCTCACTATCATCTGCCTCCTCCTCGCTCACTTCCATCATATCACTGTTGGTTCTGTGAGGAGCAACAGAAAATCCAGCTGACCACTTCCCGTAATTATAGGTTGCTTCTGGAGCATTGTCATCAGAATCAACACCTTCATCATCTGATCCACCACTACTACTACTACTACTAGTGTTGTCTTGCACTTCTCTAAAATTCGTGGTGACAGCTTTCTCAACAGGACAGGTGCGTCTTCCTAACCCTGAGACAATCCTAATGCCAGCCTTGTCACCTGGTTGATCCGGGAGTTTCTCCTCAACAATTTTCTTCTCAATCCTTCTTTTCCTAACCGTTCGCCGCCCTCGTCCATGTTTCTGTCCATACGATCTTTCACCCTGTTGCATGAGAACCTGAGTCAATGTCCCATGCTTTGCACTCTGCCGGGCAGATTCTGACACTGGACCAGCAGGTCCCTTTTGCAACTTTCCACGTGGGCGCGCAGTTCCTCGCCCACTGATGCTTTGCTTATACTCAGAGCTACCAGATGCATGACCCGTGTATTCCCAAGCTTCTCCTTTGACTTGCTTGTCTCCATTCCGTGCCACTGATTGAACCTTTTGTGCACTGCTCGTATTGGCGTATCTCGAAGGAAGTTTCTATAAGAAACAAATCGTACAGAACATAAGAAATCCAATGAAAATGGACTAACAGTAAATGGACAAAGATCAGTAGGTGCATAATCAGAAAAGGAATTTTGGAGGAGATAATATATAGGGAAAAGAAAACTCAACAATTAAGTGTTCCACTTTCTTTTCTTCTTGAACATCAGGTCTCTGATGTTGACCAAAGGAAATTGAAGCATCAAGGTCAAATAGCCTGAGAGACACTGCAGCAGTGGTGGGCGGTATCCAAGGAAGCCGTGGAATGGATCCTGAAAAAGATTCAAAGCCAGTGCTTTTTAAAGAAGCACAAAAGCTTAACAACTCTTCTGTTGTTTCGAAACTAGATGATAAATTATCCCGTTTTATGGCACCCTCAAATTGTGTCAGGACCTGCAAAGATTGAGACGGGTACAATCAGCTTATATTGGAAAAAAGGATATGAGATTTGGTAAGAACAATGCAAAACACTAAGTAATAGATACTGGAAAAACATGACAACCTGCAAGAGATCGTCAGTGCAAGATGACTTGAGCAACTTCGAGGCCCATGTTTTTCTTATATCTTCTGTCCAGAAAGACTGAAGAGCTTCAGATGGAACAGAAGCCTGTTAACAAGAACCCAAAAAAAAAAAAAAAGAGAGATGATTCATCACAAGCTGATCCCAGGAGAAAAGCCAAACAAATATGCAACAAAAATTGTCAATTTGTGCAAGTGGAAGCATCTCACCTCAAGGGAATTTAACAAGACTTTGATTAATCTGATCCTTAGAGGTTGTTGCGAGGAGTTTGAAATATTGGGATCCAGACACTCAACATCGACTTTTTCTTCAGAAGGATACCTCGGCTGTTCCATGACGCCTTCTCTGCTCTCAATCTTCATTGTTTTGTTGCATGAACACCACTGCCCTTCTACACTCACATAACAGTCGAGACAGAGAGAACATATTCCTAGCAATGGTGTACGCATATTCTTGCCATAGGACATGGCACGCAAGACAGTTGGATTAAAGCATTCTTTCCATGTCCAAAGTTCTAAATCCTCATATCTTCTAAGTGCATTCTCCCGTTCTGCTTCAGTTCTCCCAAGCTCAACCTTAAATGAAGATGACGGTTCCAATGAATCAAAGTTTGTAACACAGACAGTACTACTAGGACTCTCAGCATCAGTACTGCCATCTGAATGGGAACGAATTTCAGCACATTCCTCTAAAGTTTTCATCCCATCATTCCCTGGAACATGACCACATGACAAATTCCTCTGGACACGTTCACGGAAAGGAGCTTCAATCTTCTTTAGCATTATATGCAAATGAGATTCCCTAACTCCGCGCATATCTAGCGAAGCCAACAAAGCGTCAAATGTCTGCACAGAGAACAAAGGTATTAGTAAAAACACAATGTACTGTTCACATATATCAGACAATTTAATGAACTACATTTGCTCAAGTAGCCATATTAACATGAAAAAATAGAATGTAATAAAATAATCCACAACTATAAATTCGATACTTAAAAACAAATAGACAAAATTGTAGTTTTTCTACTCAATTTTTTCCTCTTCGGTATTTCCATTTTTTAATCAGAACTGTCAGTCATGTGAATAAATAAACAGAACTGCCAAGATAGACATGAAAACACTGATCGACATTCGACAATGAAGAATTTCACTTCTTCAATCAAAGTAAACAGCCAACATCCTCAGATTGAAAGGTTTGTAAATAAAGTAATTATCAACATTGAAGGTGAACAAAATAACTCCCCACACATAGCAACACAAGATTATATGCAACCAAGAATTGGAAAAGGCAATTATCAATATTGAGCTCTCTTAAACAACATACAAGTATGATAGAAAATAACAAGAGACATGGGTAAAAACACGAAAGTCACACTGCAAATCATTTATGTTTGAAACACCAAAACATAAAGACGAAGAGGACAAGAACTATTTTTACCTCCTCAGTGTCAATAAGCCTCCAGTAACCATCAGGAGATTCAACAAAAATCCGACCAGAACCTGGATCATGACTAGATGGGGATGCAACAAACAGCCAGTAACGGTTACGCCGTCGATCTAAGCCAAGAGGAAGGGATCTGTATACATACATCTCTTCAGCTGTGTGTCCAATAAAAGCTTTCATCTGCATCCGTGACCTCTCTGCTGTAAGATTGTTTTGCTGAATTGAGTTAGAAATCTGAGCGAAAGAAGAATCAGTCCCCAACGAGTTCTTTTCTACGTGGAAAGTGTCAATCTGACTTTGAGCATTGTCCACCCCAACAGCTGACTCATCCTTCCCTGCATTGTCGGGTGATGCCTCACCATTTTTATTGTCAGCCAGTGCCAATGGACTTTGGCTACCCTCAGCAGCACCATACGCAGATTCACTAAATTTAGTAACAAAATCTTCTTTCATGCGCCTCTTATCCAACTGTGCTTCAGCCCACATCTGTTTTTTAAGTGCATTTGCTGCATCAAGTCGATCCTGAAATGATACGACCAGAATACTTTGTTAAACAAACAATTCTATCAAACAAGACAGTTAATAAACTGAAAAAAAAAAGAAAAAAGAGGCAGACCTCAAGAATTAAGCGGATAGAATTCCCTTCATTTGCAATACCAACCAGGACAACAAGAGCATTAAGGCGCTCCTCTACAGACAGTTCAGAATATTCTCCTTCAGTAAGTCCTTGGACCCATGGCTGACCAGACTTACTTTCATCGATTTCTGCCCCAGGGTCAGATTTGCTAGTTCCTGCAAGTTTACCACCATCAATTTCATTAGTCAGCAAAGGTAATTAAAAAAACCACAAGAATCAAGGAGAACGCAAACAATTTCAGCAAGCAGGAAAAACAAAACAACTTCGTTACCATCAGCACCCGAATCATTCTGTACAGCAGTCTCATCTGTTTTGCAATCTTTTCCGTCACCAGTGCTAGTGCCAGCTTCATTACAACCCTCAACTATTTTATTTGCATCAGATGGAGTACCCAAATCATCAACTTCTGGCCCCTCAGCAACATCACAATCAGAGTCATCATCTCCTTCTTCATCCTCACCATTTTGTCCAGATAAAACACCATTGACAAATCTCTGTATCTTCTCCCTAGCTTCTGAAATTATAGCCTCAGCATCAGCAGGGTCCTTCCTATAAGCAGGTCGCACATTGTAGGTCGAAGGAGCTATTCTCTCAAAAAGCACTGGGTCCCTCGATAAGGCAACAGAAATTGAGGCCTCAGGCGTCTTGCTAGTAGTTAAATCACGAAGTCCAGATTTCTTTACCAGTGCAAACAACAAATACATAAATAATCAGCAAAAGAGCAGAAAAGGTAAACCTTACTTCATCATGTGACTGTTGATATATTTACCTGAATTTTGTCTGCAAGATCTAAAACATTTAGTCCCTTGCTTCCCTCAAGAGCAAGCACATGGTAAGCAGCAAATTTCACAGTTCCAGGCGTAAGCCGATGCCTAGATTTGCGCTGAAGGGAGAATCCTTTTTCCCGCATGATGTTGACAGCATTTCGAGCAGCTGATCCATTTCGAAGAGTGGATACTATATCTTCACAGCCTTTTGTCTGTTCAAAAAAGAGTTCAAATCCCACACAAAATGAGCATTTCTTGAGTGCCAATCGTGACGTGAAAGCCTTCAATTTAAAATTCAAGCATGAACATTCTAAGACCTCTTTTCATTCTAACAATTAAGAATAACCTCCAATTTTAGTGTTCTTTATTTCCAGAATTTATTTCAAAGTGATTGAATAGAGTTTCAGAGCCAGTTAATGCATATTCACTCTTCACCAAAACTGAATTTTACAGAAGGGCCCAGAGATTTAGAACACCGTGTGTTTCATGAATTCAAAAGATGCTGTCAATACAAAGTATGCAAACACACAACCTTTCACCCTGTCCTTTTCAATAAAATAAAAATAGAAAAAAATGAGAGGCCAAAGGAGATTTAAGGAGTGAACCAAAAAAAACAGACCTCATCATTGTCATTCAAACCCCCCCGTTCTGAGCTCTTCTTTTTGAGTTCGGGACCATAACCAGCTGCAAGAGAAAATTGCCTCAAAATTTCAGGCCATGTAAGTGGATTCAAGTGCTTTTGCCAACTGCGTATATCAAAACCCCAAACAAATGCCTGTTGGAAGACAAAACGAACATTAGACCTTCTGATACAACTAACAAGAAAACGGGAAACATCAGAAGCAAAAATTACCCCTTCAACTATCTGAGGATGTCCACCTTCAGGATTGATAACAGTATATTGATTAGTGCCAGGGCCACCTGTAGGTGTTCTAACAACATCCTCAATATCTTTTATGATCATTTTTAGCAGAGCAATGTGTATCTCACCCAGCAGCCTTGAATCCTGTAAGAATACAGTAGATCAAGAGTCAATACTGACTTTCCTCAATTAAACGGTCGAATAGAAGGAACAAGGACAGGCAAAGGCAAGGGTGATGGACAACATAATTCACAAATTGACGATTCAAAAGTAGAAACGAATGACAGACTAAAAGCCAAGATCTGCATCACTAACTTACATAGTCATGAAAAGCTTGAACAAATTCATCAAGGGTAAAAGGCCAAAGCCCTAGAAGATCAGCAAAAGTAATACAAAACCTCCATACCTGAAAAGGGAAGAGAACGTTACTATCAAAAAGGTCAGGTTGCAGTAAAAAGCAAGATTAGATTTGCTATGCACTTCTACATACCATGAGCAAGTTCCCCACATTTTCCTCTGAATCAACCCAAGGATGAATAGCAAAAGGCTTCTTCAATTTCACAGAATCGGGAGGAAATTTACACAAAGAGTCTGAACCACAAAAAAAAAAAAAAAAGTCAGAAATAGATATCAAAGTGGAAATAACTAAAGCAAGATATAACTCAAAGATCATCTTATGGCAGTTGTTATTCCAGTCAAACTAATTAGTCATCCTTATACCTGGTCCATATAACAAACACCAAACTCATAGTGTAATGTATTCTTCCTATAAAATCTTCAGAACTAAATGTTCAACACTAATTACAGGATAAAAAAAATATTGCAGGATCAATGCATAGAGCACCAACCTCTGAATGACTCAAGGCCCTGTAAAGCGTCAAAATCAAGAGAAGCAATCGAGGGCAATCCTTTGCTACCAGCAGCTAAATCCATCAATTCCAACCGTTCATCCTCAATCAGCTCCAATGACTCCTTAGCAATCCTTCTTGCCGCCGCTCTCTCCATTGCAGCCTTTTGTCTTGCGAGTTCCCTTTCTCTTCTACTATCTTCCTTCTGTTTCTTCCTCTCAGCCTACACGAATATGTAGTGAAGAGAGTGTTCATTCACATGACAGTACAATCATAAGAACTTAATTTGCCAAAAAGAACCTAGCAGAACTTACACGTAAAAGTTCTCTCTGCATAAACTTTTCTCTCCTCTCCATTTCACGTTTCTCCTCACGCTGATATCTTTCCTCCTTCTTTTGCTGCTCTCTTATAATCCTCTGCTCTTCCTTCCTTCTTTCACGATCTTGTTTCTCCATTTCCTTCCTCATTTGTTCCTCCATCTTAAACAAATGATTAACTTGTCACTTTCAAGCAATAACATTTTCGACAATATCAAGCACGGAGAATCTTAAAAAACAAGAAATTTAAATGCAAAATGATCAAATCAGAAACCTTTCGCCTTAAGAGATCCTGCTTCTCTAGTTCCTTTCTAATCCTCTTTTCATTAGCTTGGACCTCTCTTTCACTTCTAGTTTCATCATTCTGCAGAGGACATCATGTGTTAAAAGTTTATGGAATGCTTCATTACACAAAGCTTGACAAAGAAGACACCATGTCAAACACTTTCAGTACCTTGCGCTTCCGCTCCATCTGCATGATCTCCTCACTTTTTGACATCATGGCATCATTCGGAGAAGGATAACGTAAATGCCCTTGCTTGCCAGCGCTTGATGATTGACCCTCAACACCATATTCTCGGGGCAAATGTCCATTTGTCTGTGCTGAAGACAAAGTTTTACCACTTGGACCCACAACAGGTGAATCATATAGGTACGCTGGAGCAACTTGTCCATAAGAATCAGTTCTAATCTTTGAATCAGCAGGTTCTCGGAGACCACCAGATAAGGACTGAGAAATAAACAAAACACACCATTAAAAAAATGCTGGTTTCCGCACCAAGTAGAGGAAATAGGCATACGCAAAGCGCCATCCCTCTACCCAGCTACACACGACCAACTGTTTGGTAATTTTTCTTTATTAAAAAAAAAAAAAAAAAAAAAACCATAACAAAAATTTGCCAGCAGAGATTCAAGAAAGAGAAGCCAAGTTTATTTCACTCAATCTCTCATTTACTGTTGCTTTTAACACTTGTTCAAACAATTGATCCATTACTGAACAACCTAATCCAATGTTCCGACAGATCCATCTCAAAATTCTCTCAGCTACCCAAATTTTCTGTTCATACTTGTGATCATCTGTGAAACTGTTTCATAAAATAACATTTTGGTACATACAGTCCGAAAGTATAGGGGACGGATTTCTCCATATATTACGAAAGTGTCATGTCTCCATCAATCCAACAATTTCATTGAAGGTTAAATCCTAAAAATTTAGAGCTTTTAGAAGTATTATGCTACTGCTCTCCAATAATGACACCTACCCTTATATTACTTCTCTGATTACTTAAGTGGAATGTCGTTCCAAATGTCTCCAATTTACATTAACATTCACATTACTAGTCTAAATAGGCTCAAACCATGTTCTTCATTGAAACATTCCAAGAATGCAAGCAATCAAAGGCACAAACAACAAGCAACATAAATTTGTAAACCTAGTTGCCAAAATTTACACAGAAATAACAAAAACTAATTCAGTTTCACATAGACTACAAAGTTGAAGTTTCCAATGCAAATCAGGGGCAAAATTGAAAAATCAGAGACATGATTAGCAAGAGGGGGACAGAAGAGGATACAAACTTTGATCTGCTTCGTTTCATAAGACCCATATGGCTTCTTCTCATAAGATTTCCTAAACCGGTCCCGATGCTCAGCAGTCACTGTTCAAAAGAAACAAAAGAATGGACTGTTACATGAACTGCAGAGTTCGGATCAAGAATATAATAAATTTTTTACTCTGTAATCCATGCAAACAGACATGAAATGTCTAGAGTAGAATCAAAATCATGAGGAAAAGTTTAAGAATTGCAATCTAGATAGCAACACATCATTTACTGATGACCAAAGTAAACTAGGATGTCACGACCACTAAAATGTCAACCCCAGAAGTCTATATGTCATATACCTATAGGAGCACCAAAAGCATCAGGTGGAGGTACATCAAACTCAACCCCCAGAATAGGTCCATCTTCTCTTAATGGCTCTCCCAACTGTGCCTCTACACAAGCAATCACTCTACGTGCCATCATTGTCCTTGGTGATTCATAATATCTTTTTGGCACCATTGGCATATCATCCCCATTATCAAACTGACTGGAACCAGATCCTGAACCTGAACCGGAACCTGAGCCAGATCCCGAGCGTGATCGCGACATGTGCTCAGCACCCATCATTTCATCTTGGGGAGACTCTATCAAACTCTGTTTTCCAACTGCAGCAGAAGAACGAGGCTTCATCGCTGCCGTTCCTTGAGACTCTTTCTTCTCTTTCAACTCCTTCTTGTCTTTCAATCGCCGATGGCAAAACCACATCTGCAGCTGCCTGTCTGATAACCCCAATTTCACAGACAGATCTGCTCTTGTTGCTTCTGATGGATATGTCTCATCTGCAAAAAACAAACAGGACGTAAATCCACAGAAATAGACACAAACAAGAAATCAATAATTGTTGGATCAACTCATACAATTTACACTTCCAAAATAGTGACCAAATTCATTTTACTATCAACCAGATACACACACACACACACACACACACACACACACACACACACACACACACACACACACACACACACACACACACAGAGCGAGCTTTAACCTAGCTTCTAAGGACTACAAAACTTACTTCTACTCTTAAATACAAAGTTACAAACACCCAATTTTAAACAAATGAAAACAGTTTTGGCTTAATTCTACAAATTTCTGCCAAAAAGCACACAATTTAAACCCCCATTACAAACACAAACCTACTAAAAATTCACGAAAGCCCAGAGATAAACCTATTTGCAGTTTTTGCATCCAAATATCAAGCAACAAGCCAAAACAAAAAAAAAAAAACAAAAACTAATATGGAACTAAAACAATCAGCCAAGAACTCCTCACAGAAAGAGCAAATCCAACAAGAAGAATAATCTACAACAAAAAAAAACCATCCAGAAAACAGCAACAAAAATCAGTGAGAAATCAACATACTAGCATAAGTTTTCTCAAGGGCTTCCAATTGAAAAGGAGTCTTCATCTGGCGTTTGGGCTTCTTCGCCCCTTCTGGAGGAGTGTGATTGATATTCCTATTGCTCTCTTCATCGGAACCCGAATCCATTGCCTCTCAATCTAACAAAAAAGCCCTAGAAATCGAAGCCTCCAACGAAAACAACAACCAGGGCAAAATAATACCCAAAAAACACCGAATCGATATGCTTTGCTTGGCCTCCAAATCTAACGTGGGAGAGAAGGAATGAAAAGCAAGGAATCAAAGCGACAATTAACCAAACCCATAAGATGAGATGTGAACACAGGAACACAGCGGCGGCTTAAAAAACACCCCGAAATTGAAAAAAAATCAACACAGGAACAAGGAAAAACCTAATAGTAATATAGAGATAGAGATGGAAACAGGAATGGACAGGTAAGATTGAGAAAAAACGGAGAGAGAGAGAAACAAACAAACGATAATTAAGAGAGAATAATAAAAATAGTAAGAACGAAGAAAGGAGGATTAAATTAAAAGGAAAACAAAAAGGAGAAGAAGAATAGTTGATGAAGTGTTTCAAGAAGAAGTTTTCCTTTTCGTTGTTGTTAATGTTGTCATAGTCCCTCTTGGTTCCAACTTTGTTGTTGTCTAGAACAAATTCCATTCTTGAAAATTTTTTCTTTTTTAAAAATTTTTAAGGTTTTTATGAAAAAATTGTTGTAAGAAAGAAAGAGATAGATTAGATAGAACACCGTGTTTGTTTTTCCCCTTCCCTTCCTAATCTAGTTCTTTTGTTTAAAATATAAAATTTTTTTCTCGAAATTGGGGTTTTAAATTCCTTTTTTGGTAGTTTCATCAAACACACACACACACACACACGCACAACGCCGAATAAAATGGGTTTTGTAAGGAGATGTTTTAAAATTTGATCTGATTCATTCGATGAGGGGGAACTGTGTGTGTGCGTGTTTCTTTTAGATTTTTTTGTTTAAACGAATTTATTATTATTAGTGTTCTTTTTATAATTTTGTAATAAGTTGCGGTTAAGTTTTTGGCGGTGGAAGCTTTATAAATGCATTTCTGGGTTTTTTTTGGTACTTTTGAGTGTATCTCTTTCCTTCCTTGCTTCCCTTCCCTTGTTTTTGTTGACTTGGCGTTTTAATCCTTTGCTTCTCCACTTGGAATCTGTTTTTAGGTGGTTTGAAGGAGGGTTTTGTGGTTCTTGTGTAAGTGGGTTCCACTCTTGCTTTGGGGTTCTTACTCTCTATTTCAGCCCATTCAGGTTTTTACGAGACAGGCCTACTTTTGGATACTCATGGGCTTAACTTCGCCTGGATAAGGTTAGTTTTAATTGGGCTCACATACACATGGATAAAGTTCACTATCTGTCCAATATATAATAAATATAAAAGTTTGCCTTTGCGATAATGCTTACAAAAGTAAAACTGCAGTTATTAGCATCCAGACATCACTGATACACTGAATTACAATTACTGCTTTAACAGACGAAATACTGATAATTTTGGATTAGTTTTCTTCCTGAGTGGCGAGATGCCTAGCAGTGTGCTGCAATTTTAGCATAAAACAGGTATAAGAAGCCCAGTTCTTCTTCAACCTACGTTAGTAGCTAGCTGCCTAGATACGATATAGTAGTACTAATGCCTTCAAAGTCCTACTTGACCACTTATTCCTGAAAGTCTACGCATGATGTTGATGCAGCTAATTTTTCTTGAATTTTAACATCAGCTTGGTGAGAACACTTGGGTTGCTGACGCGTGCGAACTCCTTCTTCTTCTTCTCAATTTCCTGAACCTCAGCATGCTTGTTAGCATTTAACCACTGACAGACTTCTCCAACTGCATCCTCAACCTTCTTCTTGTAGGCTGAAGGCTTCTTAACCGTTATGGCAGTCCTCATTTTATAAGCGTAAAGCTCAAGTGAATTCCATGCAGCAGTTTTCTTTTTGTACTCATCAACCTCAGCCTTGAACTTCTGAGCTTCTTTTATCAACATCTTAATCTCCTGGCTAGATAATCTTCCCCTCTTCAAACTGATGATCTCCTCCAAGCCTGTAGCTCGATCTCTGGCAGTGACATTCAAGATCCCATTGGCGTCAAGAGCAAAGTATATGTCGATTTTTGGAACTCTTCTAGGCCGCAGGCTGTAGCTCGAGCTTCATTTCACCTAGCAAAGTGTTGTCTGATGCTTTTGCCCTCTCTCCTTCAAATACTCGAATTGCCGCTCTAACCTGACCATCTACTAAGGTTATGAAAAACTCCCTTCATTTCGGTTGGAAAGATGGTGTTCCTAGGAATCATGACAGATATGACTTGTCCTTTAACTTCGACACCTAAAGACAATGGTTAACTTCCACCAGCTTAATATCCTTAAGAACCTTAATTTCATTGCACCAGCCACTTAAGATCGATGCTTGAACAGCCGCGCCATAAGCAACCGCTTCATCTGGGTTAATGCTCTTGCATAGTTCCTTCCCATTGAAAAGTTCCAGTAGTAATTGCTGAACTTTAGGAATCCTACTTGAACCACCCACAAGAACGACATCATTTTTTGAACAAATCCATGTTTAGCTCCTCAAATCTTAAGCGAGTAATAGTGGCTGAGAGATCAGTACCTTCAAATAAGGCATCGATTTGGATTCTTGTCTCGACAGAGGAGGACAAGACCCTCTTGGCCCTCTCACAAGCTGTTCTTAATCTTCACATAGCTCTAGGATTTGAACTGATATCCTTATCATGTTTCCTCCTGAACTCTCCAACACAATGGTTAACCATTCGACTGTTAAAAGTCCTCCCCGCCTAGGTGAGTATCACCAGCAGTGGCCTTAACTTCAAATTTACCCGCTTTAATGGTGACAATAGAGACATCAAAAGTACCACCGCCAAGATCAAATACAAGAACATTCTTCTTGCCTGTAAGAATGGACTCGCTGTTGAGACCGTAGGCAGTCGCAGCAGCTGTTGGTTCACTGATGATGCGGAGGATGTTGAGCCCAGCAATGGCTCCAGCACCCTTGGTTGCCTGACGCTGAGAATCATTGAAATAGGCAGGCACAGTGATGACTGCATCCTCCACGTTGGACCCAGTGGAAGATTCAGCAATCTTCTGCAAATGTAGAAGAAGCATTGAAGAAATCTCTTCAACACCAAATTGCTTCTCTTGGCCCTTGCTAGTAACAACAACAAACAACAGGCCTGTCCTCATTCCCAGAAATGATTTTGAACGGCAAGAATTTCATATCACTCTGTACCGACTCATCACTGAATTTCCTCCCGATCAATCTCTTAGCATCTACAAAGAAAATTCAGCAAGCATCAGACCCAGTTTCTATTTATCCTATCCTATACCAATAATTAAAAGCTGAAATTAACATTAGAATTTTCTGGTTTCTGAAAAAAGAGAATGAAAATTTGCACCTAGTTAACAAGTTTTATACCATGCAGGCATGCATTCTTCCATGGTTCCACCGCCAGAACCAAGTCATCAACAAGCAACAAATTGTCACTCAAAACCATAAATTGAAATAAGCTAGTAAGCCTTTCCAGTTTCCCTTTGTTTTCCCCCCAAAACAGATGGAACTCCTTGTTCTACACATATCAGTCTTTCGTTAAAAGCTAAGGGTTCATAAAATTAGAGTTCGAGTTTTGCAGAATCAGACAACCAATCAGCTTTTACATTCATAATTTTTACAGCAGAAACTACACACGGTTAAAATAAAGAAGTGAAAAGAAAATAATCGTAATGATAATAAACGCCAAGATCAGAAATCAGAAGCATTTTGTTAGTTTATGAGGAAAATGTCGTGGGTTTTGAAAGATGATGGATATGACGTTTTGGTCCAAAAAAAATGTAATTAGTAGGTATCTTTTGCCTGTGTCACGAATAATGTTCCTAGACAATGTGACAATGAAAAATAACATTATCAATACCATTATATACTTTTGCATATATTATATTATATTATTATAAATATTTCTAACGAAACCTTCAAAAAAAAATTAATGAATACAAATTACAAATTGTATTGTGAGAAAAATAAAAATTAATTAACTAATGTAAATCGTAGGATGTACGAAACCGTACTTGTGAGTTTACATAACTATAGGCATGTTTTTAGAACCTCCATTTGAGCTTGAAATCGTTCTTTACATCCCTTATAATCGTAGGATACTGAGTAATGTATGATTATTATTACACACGAAGTAATCATTAAGAATTCAAGCGATAGAAAAACCTGTAGAACTAGAAGGACACCGTAATTGATTAATTGGTTCATCATATTTTTGGATTAATAAATTGAACTAATCCCATCCACATTTCACACAATTATGTTCATATTTCCGAATCGCTATGAGGAGTTTCTGAAATATATGATTGGGTTTCATGGACTCCTAGTGGTGAATATTAGATAATACTTGTTGAGTTTAACTGTCTATAAAACATAATTCTTTTTTCTAAATTATAATTTGTAAGTGGTTGGAGACTTGGAGTATTTGGGATATATGAAGGCCCAAATTTATATCGTATTGGGTGTATATAGAATTTATTTATCAATTTTATCATAATTGTGACAAACCGTCGTCACACTAGTCAAATAATAATTACCTACTTAATACAATTACTAGTAGTAAAGCAGAAAGCAGGGTCGATCCCACAGAGAAGGAACACTAATTACCTGGTATAAATTACTCCTATTATTATCTAGATAAATGATGATCTCAGATTTATAAAATTTAAACCTAAAATAAATAAATAAAATAAAAGTAAATAATATTAATTCAAATAATCAGACAAAGAAAACCTAGGACATTGGGTTCACCTACCGAATATTTGGGTTAGTTCAATTCACAAATATCTGACTTTTAACTTCCATTAATCTCACAACGATTCACCTAATTAAGAACTATACACTCTCGTGTTATAATTCTCTTACTTATATTAACCCTATGACTACTCTCGTGACTATAGGAATTAACAAAAGCACATTAAGACCATTAAGAATCAAATATTGCAAAGGTTATAATCTTACTCTCGTAGCTTACAACCTAAGTTTATTATTCCTACGAACTAATATTAATCTTCCACTCTCGCTACTTCGATTAATATCTTCAGACATGCAAATAGTGGCCAATTACTTACACGAATTAAAACAAGAATAACAAATATTAATTAATGGAAAAATCAAATAATAATAAACCAAATAAACCAAATAAATTCGGTGGCTACACCCAAGCCCTAGATTAAAAGAATTTAGCCACTAAACATTATTAAAATTAATTCAATAATATTTAGAGACATAATAAAAATAAATAAATTAAATAATTAAACTTTAAAACCGAATGAAGCCAAAAATCTCGCCAAACTCCCCGCCGGTTGCTCGCTTCACCGCTGCTGCGTGGCTCGCCGGTGATTAATGATGGAGGAAGGTGCTTCGGTGGTGGGTGCGTTCGGTGATGACGAGCTGCAGCAGGAAGACGAGAGGAGCTCTGGTGGTGATGATGGCGGTTGATGGTGAGCTCGGTGAAGGAGGAGGGAGTTCGGTGGTGCTGTGTGTGCGAAAGCAAGGGAGGAGAAGTGCCGGTGAAGGAGGAGCAGCGGGTGGTTATGGAAGGTGAGGCTCGGCTGCTTCGGTGGTGCGGCGTGACCAGGAAGGCGGAGAAGATGGTGATGGAGGTGTAGGGTTCGGTGGTTTTCGGTCAAGTTTCGGTTCAGTTCTGTTGTAAAAATAAATCTCTAATCCCCCTTTTATAGGCTTCCGGCTAAACCCTACTCCTTGAAGAACAATAAAACTTGTTTTCCAATTAATATCGGGATTAAAATTCTTATCCAATTCCAATCCCAAATCGGCCGCATAACCATAACCTTCTCGGCCAATTTTCCAAAAACTTAATTAACCAATCCAAAATTGCATCATTGGCCCTCCAATTCTCTAAACTCATTAATTTCCTCCCCATCAATTGCTTCAATCTTCAATTCTTTCCCATTGAGTTGCTTTTAATTTGATTTTAGCTCAAAACTTCAACAATTCGTCATTTGAGTACAATTCCTACAATTAAAGATAAAATCACATAAATAGCTTATTTGTACTCAAAATATATTGCAAAAATCACAAATTAGGGATATAATAAATAGGTAAAATATAAGCATATCAAATACCCCCAAACTTGAATTATTGCTTGCCTCAAGCAATCCCAAAAAAATTAAAACAAACAAAAACATTAATTATTTAATTTGGCGGCCTCAGAGATTTAATCACATCATATAACATAAAGATTTCGACTACCTCTAGTATGGACTACCGAACAATGCAAACCATAGCTACTTTTAGCCCCCACGCTTGTGTGTGTGTGCTTCGTTTCTTAGGGACATCACTTTACATTTAACATAGAAAACAAAAGCTCTACTGCAAATATGCCATTTTACTTTAACAACAGACTCACATTTCATATCATATTTCAATGCAATGGACCGCCAAACATGCTATGAAGTAGAAGGACTTATCTCACCGACAACCTATTCCCCCTCGTAACCCATTCTTCGGTCCATGCGGCTTTTCTTCAGGACTCTTTCCAACTCAGGCCACTACCCAGAGCATTTTTCCACTCCTATACATAGTGGCTCAGCAACTTAGGGCAGTCTATACATCTATTTTTCCTCACCGGGCCTGAGGACTCTCCGCTCAGGTTGCCAATTCCTCACCTCTCAATGATCTACCATCAACATTGAATGCTCTTCCTTTTCTTCCTCATTAAAATTTACCTAACCTCAGAAGCATCCGCCAACACCCCTCCCCCAAACTTACTTAACACAAAGTGTCAAAGCAATAAGGTTTTTTAAGGCCTATATTGGGTTAATGTCTTGCTTTTCCTTCACAACATGATGGGTTCCACATACAAATCATATAAGTATGAGTGAATCAAACACAACTTTCATGGCATATCTACATCAAACTTATGCAACTATATCTCACTTTAGGCTTATCCCACAGTCACGACTAAGTGCAAAAGTAACAGGGTATTCAAAGCAACATACAGAAATACATAAGTTAAGCAATACAATTCAAAATAGTCTAATTCTTACATGTTATAGATAATCAAACCAACTTCATCATAGGCCTTTTTGAATTTTTCAATTTTTATGGGTTTTTTTATTTGAGAAAGATAAACATAAAACGCATTCCTCTCCCCCACACTTAAAGTATACATTGCCCTCAATGTATAAAACACAAAAGACAAGACAACCAAGTGAAAAGAAAAGAAAAGACATAAAACAAAAAGAATGAAAAGAAACGACACAACCTTGGGAATGTGAAGTGGAGGACCGGAATTGTTGAAAAATATTGCAACTGCCATTCAAGCACACGACCAACTTCTTCAGAATTTTGGATGTTTCATTTTCAGCACCATTGGACACCAGAGTTTCGCCCGTCCAACAAACCTAATTGCAAACTAAAATAAATTAAAAAATCAAACCTAAACACAGATGATTAAGAAAAATCATGAAAATCCAGAAATCAAAGATCTCCAGATAATCAGGAACAAAAAACTTAACCATCAACTTATTAATGAAAGAAAAAGAAAAATAAAGCAAAATAAAGAATTGGGTTGCCTCCCAATAAGCGCTTCTTTAAAGTCATGAGCCGGACTATGTGGCTAATCAATCAGGCGGACGCTCAATCAAAGAGTGGGAACCCCTTTGATACATCATTCTTCTTTCGTCTCCAACTGCCACCACATCACTAATACACTTGTCAGGAGGGTCATTAAAATTAGCAATAAACACATCATTTTTATCTGTCTCCTTAACAGAATCTACTCTAAACACATGATGAGTAAATGCAGGGCATTTGTAATTTTCAGAAAAAGTGAACTCTACAGATTCTTCTCCAATATGAAATTTTAAACTCCCCTCTTTTTAACATCTATAACAGCACCAGCTGTGGCTAGAAATGGTCGACCTAAAATAATTGGCACATTAGCATCTTCTTCCATATCTAACACAACAAAATCAACAGGGATATAAAATTACTTTACTTTTACCAGCACATTTTCCAAAATCCCTTTTGGATGAGTTATGGATCTATCAGCTAACTGCAAAGTGATGTTAGTTGGTTTCAAATGTTTCAAACCAAGCTTTCTACAAACAGATAAAGGCATCAATGAAACACTAGCACCTAAATCACATAAAGCTTTATCAAAACAGAC